ATATTCTCTTAAGCCTGAAACAATAACTTCCAATTATTTACTACAATTTTGCATACAATATACATATATTTCTATTTATGTTTTATTTTTTTATTTTTACTATTTTTAAAGACAAAAAGTAAATTTATTTAGGCATAATAAAAATTGTTATTATATCTTACTTATTTCCCATATGTTAGGTTAAAGTATAACTTATTTGATTTATATATTCCGGCTCATCGGAAAAGTGTATTCTTTTAAGTCTTCTTACTGCTAGGCTATTATCTGTTAGATTTGATTACATGTTTTTTTTTCCTGGTTGTTAAGCCTATGCATGTATTTTTTACTAAATTTAGTTATTTATTCACATAAGGACTTCCTAGATCTTTGTGTAAGCATGCATTTGAAACGTAAAAAGGGGCATTACCTATGGATCTCAATGTTTTTGATTGGAAGCGTTGAAGAATTTCAATTTTGTAGTTGCAATATCCCACCGTTATATGGCATATGTCCACAAAAGCTATATTTATTTCTTTATGACAAATATCTGTCAAGATCATAAGCATATAACATAACATAAAAACATACGGGATATATATTCAGATATTAAAAAGAAAAACAATAAAAATAAAAAAAACAAGAGAGAACGCTACAGTCGAGCAAGCCCGACAGTTTAATACCCTGTACCCAGGTAAACTTCCGTCACTGAGCTATATGCGCCCATAGCAGCAGCAAAAAGAGGAAGAAGAAGAGCGAACTTGTTGCTGCAGTTTGTGGGGGTTCTACTGGCGAGAATTTGTTTCGCTAATAACTTTTCTTAGAATTGACCGAATTGAATAAAATTTTGAACAACAGTAGAAAATGATATATAAATTATGTGTGCAAAGTTTGATTTAGGTAGCATTTGAAATGTGGACGCTATTGACGAAATTCTGCAGCGGGGGAAGGGGGGGAAAATTAAAAAAAAAAAAATAAACTCGTCCTTACTCGGACCTAGGAGAATCTGGATGCCAACTTTGGTTATTCTAGCTTTTATAGTTTCTGAGATCCTCGCGTTCATCCAGACGGACAGACCCTTTTTACCCTACGGGTACAGGGTATAAAAATTAAATAGAATTACAATAATTTTTTATACTCTGTACATGAAATGTACAAGAGTATATTAGGTTTGCGGGAGCTGAAAAATGTAACAGGCAGAAGGAGGCGTGGCAGACCCCACAAAGTATATATATTCTTGATCAGCATGACGAGACGAGTCGATCTAGCCCTGTCTGTCTGTCTGTCCGTCTGTCCGTCTGTCCGTCTGTCCGTCCGTATGAACACCTGGATCTCAGAGACTATAAGAGATAGAGACACCAAATTTTGCACGAAGATGCGTTATGTGTATATTCTATACGAGTTTGTTTTATTTTTTTGATTTTCCCCCCCACTTCCCCCCTATGGGGGTTTTCCCGATTTTCCATTCGTATAATCGCCTATATCTCGGAGACTATAAGACCTAGGAACACCAAATTTTAGTCCCAGATGCCTTATGTAAATACGCAGAAAATGTATATTTTGGAATTCCCCTCCCTCCCCCCACTACCCCGCAAATCGTAACTCCCGTAATTCTTGGAATTTCGAACTAAAATTTTGGAAATACCCCCAGTTAGTTATTATGTGTCCGTATGCCAAATTTCATTATGTTAGACCGATTTAACAAGAAGTTATAGCCATAAATATATTTGCTGATGCAGCGCTGCTGCAGCGCTGCTCTAGCGCTGCCCGCGGCTGTTGTTGATGTTGCTGTTTGGTTGACTGCGAAAATGCTTACACAGACACGAATTGATGCGCATAGGCATACATACACTCACACAGACGCAATTGCTATGTAAATGTGCAATTATACACCCTTTACGTGAGTTCGAATACCGAGAGAGGTAAAATCGATCAAATTTTTTTTTTTATTTTCTTTTTTTTTTTTATTTTCTATAATTATTGTAAACATATGTACAGAGTATTTCAAAGTCGGGACACCCGACTTTAGCTTTTTTACTTGTTTTAAAATAGTAAAGATCTTAAACAGCAACAAAAAATATTATTCACACCTTAAGAAATGAAGGATGCATGATTTAATTGAACTGACAGAGCTCTCATGGCCAATTGATTACAGTTGCTACATAGAACCCGAAACGAACTGTGCAAAGCGTAGTTGGTGGTACAGCGATTAAAGCTTAATGGAGCAAACAATTTGTAGTATGTCTATATAGAGGCGAACCTGGTTTTCGGCCTATCAGCCAGGACATTCGTTGTGACTTCGTAAATATGACTTATCCATGTAGGTCTGCGATCAAGATGCAAGCCAAGATACTTCACAGAGCGGCTTTGTGGAATTGCTGAGCCGTTAAGTAGGATAAGTTAATAAAATAAATAAATAACTTATCCATTAATTCCAAATTATAAAATGAATATAAGTATCATACAATACCACATTTCTTTCATCGTCATGTCAATTCATCACAGAATACCTTTTTCCATTCTTAAATACAATTTCCTGCAGACATGCTGTTATCCGTTTGTGCGCCAATTATTTTTTTGCTACAGGTCCAACCATTTGTTATTCTAAATATAAATTAGCAAAATTTTTGTCCAATTCGCCAAATTAGCAGCCCGCAGTGCTCCATAAATATGACATTTTATGGAAGCTACAAATGGGATTACGACACCAGACGCGTTGCAGGCAACAGCGCCGGCAATTTGACGAACGTCATCAAAAATTTTACGATGCTCTTATGAACCAACCGAATAAAAATTATACGCCACATAAAGCTGATGACTGATCCGGGGCCAGATATTGTGAAAGGGGAGCCGAAACGAGCAGGTAAACAAAGTCGGGAGTAGCGGCCACTGCAACGAGCCGCCATAATAAAACAGCTAGGGCCGGGTTTTGAGGGATCCGATACGGCTGTGGCCTGTAGCCTGTGGCCAGCAGCTGATGGAGAGAAATCAAGAAATGAAATAATAATAAATTCTGCAGTGTAAATTACTTGGTTCGTCGTAAAAGAAAATATGCAAATCGATTGCATTAATTTAATAATGATGTCAATAATTTGGTTGCCAAGCAGAACTCAGCAGGGCCGGTTATTTGTTATTGCAAAAAAAAAAAAAAAAAACCCACAAAGGTTTGTCAGACAACTGGCGAATAAATAAGGTACCAACTTTTATGGGAGAATTGGAAAAGGGTTGAACCTGGCGCTCATTTGACGAATGAACTGGACGCGAACTGTAATCCGCAGTCTGACAAGGAGGAAACGCCCCTAATAATGGAGCTTGCAAAGGAATACTAAAACAAATAGAGGGCCATACTGAACATTCAAAGCTATAGATGCTGTCTTCGATTCTATTAGTCGATACTATCACAATTTGTAGGTCTTCTTCATGGATAGGTGCTATATGGAATTCTAAATGGAATGATATAAAGATAAAGCTATAACAAGACATTTCCCCTTTTCTAAACAAGAAAACAAGTAGTTATTTAAGAGATATTTCTAACTGAAAATTAGAATGACATTTTTTATGTAGTTGCAGTTTTTATTGATATTTTTTCAGTAGAGATAGGCTCATTTTCTTATAACCTCGTAATACAATGGTTCCTCTTCATAGACCCATTGGTAGTGGCTTCATTACCTTTAATATAATACTTTATTTTATATTATATTATAATTTAAATCATAGTTTTTGTATATGAATCAATAGCACTATTTGTTGAGTTACTAAATAAAATAAAATTAGGAAAAAACATAGCGCCGATCAGCCAGCGCTTGTCATGATTCTTAAATTACTTGCGAGAATTATATTAGTCCGCAATTCCTAAGAATAATTCGCATAAATCACAAAAAGCCTGTCGATTGTCAGAACTCCCAGAATTAGAAGTTGGTTATTAATTATTTGTGTATTAATAAGTATTGTTTCTTTGACATTATTAGAACGTCAAGTTTTGGGGTATATTCCACTCAATTCCAACTGCAATTCCAGCAATATATTTCCTAGTTCTGTAGCAGATCTCCAGGACATATCAGGACATACCAATAATTATGTTTTCCCAATAAGGGTAGTCGGGTTCTAGCTACCACTAGCTGTATGAACTTTTGAAAACAGGCTGGGCTTAACCCACAATGACTTCTGAAAAGGTTGCATTTTCCTTCCTGTCAGAACTTAAAAAAGGTGTTCAAATTATAAAATTATTATTAGTAATTTTTCAGTGAAACCTACTATTATATTATACTTATTTTCTTATGTTGGTTTGTTATTTTATTTAGGCTGTTAAATTAAAAACAGGTTAGTTAGATTTTTTTCTGTTTATTTTTTATTTATGGAGCATAAACGTCATGACATACTATACTTATTGAATCGAAGGACTTTGTGTACAAATTATTTGCGAATATATACATACACGTAATTTCTCTAACACTGACTTTTGATAGTCGATATAGTTTCTAAGGCAGCTATATAAAATAATGATCATTTATAGGGTTCTGTGTGAAGATAAGTCAAGTGCTCACAATTAATTTGAAGTGCCTAGAAAATGTTCTTGATATTCATGTGGACGGAAATAAGAATAGTCGTCTCATTACACTGATCATATATATCGATAAAAAAATGTATATCGGTAATATGGGGACTTTTTCTGCCTGTTTTCATACATCCTTGCCCTTTTACCCCGCGGATAGATAGTATAAGAAAATGTTGGTGAATGAAACTGGAGAATAATAAGTCTAATTTACTTCTGATTTAATTGCCCAGACTGTAGTTTAATCAATAAATACGCATAGTTTGCAACACTAATTAGTCTGATTTTTTTTAAAAGCATTATTCCTTTCGGTCTCATATCGAGCCTGTTCGAATAAATTAGAAATTTCATTTAGTCTTTAGCGGCAGTCGTTGTGAGCTGAAAAACAAGAAAATCAAATTTTCTTCAAAAAAAAAAAGTGTTCAAGTGAGATTTTGCAGCTTTAGAGTAACTTTTCAAGGGTCGAGTTGAAATGAGTCGTCGTCGGCGCTTGCAGGACGAGCGGGACAGCCCCAGGAGCTGCAAACGCCAGCGTTGCCTCGAGCACGACAACGCTCTGGCCGGCACCATTGAGCGCATGATGGTCAAGTTGAGCGATGACACGGACAATCTGATAGAGTTTCGTCTGGAGGAGCTCATTTACTTTGTGGACGATCAGCTGGAGAGCTACAAGTTGGACATTTTGCGCATTCTGGTCGAGTGCGTGGAGACGTATCCCATGCAGAGCAGCGCCTACGCCACCTTAGTGGGTCTGCTCAACGAGCGGGACTATGAGTTTGGAGGCGAGTGTCTGATGCACATGAGCATGCGATTTAAGCGGACTCTGCAGCAGTGCGAATGGGACAAGGCACAAGGCCTACTGTTCTTTCTGGCCGGCCTAATCAACGCCAATGTGGCAACAATTAGCTCGCTGCTGCATCTGCTAAACGCCCTGTTGATGGTGTGCGATGAGACGGATACTCCGCAGTTGCGTCGCGACTGGTTTGCGCATGCAGTGCTCTCCACACTGCCCTTCATTGGACGTGAGCTGTACGAGAAGAAGGAGTCGGCCCTGCAGGCGCTCATTTTGCGCCTTAAGCTGTATATGGAGCGTCGCTCCAATGCCCATGGGGCACTGCTCAGCGTGTGGACAACAACAGCAGCCACAATGGACACCTCACAGCCCGAGTATCTGGATCTACTGTGGCAGCAAGTGTTGAAGTTACAGAGCAACAACTGGATGGAACAAATGCTGACGCGTCCCTATCTGACGTTCGATGAGCGTCTGACTGAAGCCTTGCAACACAACTTGCCACCATTGCGGGCCCCCGCCCACGAGCCCAACTGCAAATATAACGCACCCCTGGTCACATTTCATTTGTTTGAATCCAGCGGAGGAGATGGCGCCCAAGTCGCCCCTAATCTGCCCGATCTGCTGAGTATTGAGCGTCACCTGCTGGAGTCTCAAATATTGGAGATATTGCAAGTTTATCATCTGGAGCGTAAAATTTGCGCGGAGCGTTTAATCAGTTTCTGCGCTGCCCAGCCCGCCTGGACCGTCGAGCACTGTGTTGTGGAGATTATAGTGGGGCAGCTGCTGGAGTTGCCTAAATCCTTGCATCTGACCATCAACTATGGCGTTATTCTCATTGAGCTGTGCCGGTCGAAGCCCTTGCAATGGAGTCCAGTTCTGACACAGGCCATTCACATACTCTTCCAGCGTGTGGACAACATGCGGGTGGCCTGTTTTGATAGGTTCGTCAATTGGTTCTCGCATCACTTGAGCAACTTTCGTTACGAGTGGAACTGGCTGGAGTGGAAGAGTGCCACTGAGGTGAAGTCCATCGATCAGCCGCGGGCCAAATTCTTGCAGCAGCTCCTGCAAAAGTGCTTGCGGTGCGTACCAGTAATTTGCATATTTATCTTTAAAGTAGTATTTTGCTCCTCAAGATAGATAGATCAATATATTTCTTAGCCGACTTCTACTATATATGAAGTATGAAGCATCTGGTATGGCTCACCAAGCTATGAAATGTTTAGTGTGTAAAGTTTTTATCGACCTGAAAATAGAAGATGGATCTTACATCATATACTTTCATAGTAAGGGTAGATGATTATGATATTAACTTTCATTTTCCGCCTTGACTACGGATTTGCTATGATCAAGTTAAAATGTTAATTCGAAGCTCCTGCAGTTTTTAGAGCATTTGTAAGCAAAGTAATGAGGCAGTAGTGAGGCTGGATCTACTCTCTTTAGAGATCAGTGCGGCTAGAATTGTTGTATTGCTGAGAATGCGAGAAATAAGGAGATATTTCGGCCTCCCTGATGGGCTCCAATTAGGTTGATAATTGTTGAATTTTCCCCATTTACTGAGATACATTTAATGATTGATTTTGCTTTCCATATTTGCGAATCTAAATATTGAACACCAACAGCTGCGATAATTCATATGGCGCCTTCCCGCAGCCTCTCCTATTATCAGCATGTGCAGGACATGCTGCCAGCCTGTTTCGCGCCTTTGCTTCCCGAGGTGCCGGAACCGTGTTTCAAGTATATTGACGTACTGTTGCCGGGGGCTGAGCTGGCCAAGCACTTGCTTGACGCCATCCGCAACAAATGCAATCCAGAGATAGTCGGTGGGCTCCTCGAGGCGGCCATTGAGCACAGCCCGATGTTAAAGATCGATGTGCTCGTGCAGACATTGCTGCATTTGGGTTCGAAATCATTTACCCACACCAATGCCATGTTTTTCAAGTTTCAACCAGTGCTTAAGGTGAGTTATTGGAACCATCTTTCACTTCTGTGGATACATTCATACCTATATATAGATGTTGGCCGAGGACGAAGCTTCACAGCATGCCATACTTTCGGCCGTTTTTGAACTCTGGGCCAACAATGAACAGCGCAAGCTGCTGTTGGCTGAGAAGCTTTTGCGCATGAAAATAATTGAGGATAGCGCCATGCTTTCTTGGATCTTTTCCCAGCATCTAAAACCGGAACTGACCAAAATGTATTTGTGGGAATTGCTGAGCTTCATCATACGGTTCAATAGCATTGTGCTGGAGAAGACTGATGAAGTGGACGAGGTATCCAAGAATCTAAAGTTGAAGACATTACTTTTGACCATTATACGGCATTTTGTGCGGATCTTGTCCGAGCACGAACAGCAGCAGGGCGACCAGCAGTCGGACTATTGGTTTGATTGGGTTTTGGGTCGAATGCAGGAACTTCTGTTTAACCATTGGACTGATGCTGCGCTCTTTGAGGATGAGCTCAAGGCGATTGTGTCAAACGAGCATGTAGTTCCACGCGTACGCATAATGGTTCGGGAATTTTTTGATTTTATTGAATGAAGTGTTTGATATTTTAAAATAAATGAAATACAATAAATGTGTTGAAAACATTATGCCTTAAGCAATATTCTTTAATGCCATTATTTATCTATTTATCAATTCATCAACAAACAAAGCTATTGATGTAAAATAAATTAATACAATAGATAGTTGAACTAAATAAAAAAGCATATGGAAATTACAAAAATATCTAGTAACGAATCCGACTCAATGCCATACGGTCAGCCAATTAAAATTGTAAAATATTTAAATAATTACAAAAAGTTTAATGATAAGCTCAAAGGTGGATAAATTATTATAAATTAAAATATTTAACAAAATTTAATGAAGAGTTAAAAAGAATAGTGATTCCCTTCCTGGTGGAGTCAATAAAAAAGCACACAAGTAAAATTAAATTGAAATAATAAATAACAACCAAAATTTAATTAATAACTAAAAGGTGGAGAATAAATGCCTCGGTGTGGTCAATAAAATATTAAATTAAATTACTTAAGTCCTAAAAACAACTTAGTCGGTGGGGTCAATGAAAAATCAAAAACAAGTAAAATTAAATTCAAATAATAATAAATTAAAATAGTTTAATAATTAACAAAAATTAAATTTTAGCTAAAAGTTCAAGTTCAATCAAAATAAGTAAAATGAAATTAAAATAAGAATAAATAAAAATAGTTAAATAATAAAATTAAATTAAATTTTAGCTAAAAGGTGAAGAATCACTGACCCGGTGGGGTCAATGAAAAATCAAAAATAAAGTAAAATTAACAGAAAATAAATTAAAATAATTATAAATTAAAATATTTTCTTTCTGCCTGTTACAAACTTTGCACAAACCTAATATACCCGTTTTACCCTACAGGTACAAGGTATAAAAAGTGGAGGATTACTTGCCCGGTGGGGAAAAGTTTATTAGCCAGTCCGGCAAGCTATTGTATTCGTCTGCTCCTCCTATATAGTAATGATCTTATGAAACTTCAATCCGATGTTTCGTAAACATAATTTAATTTAATTAGTAGCTAAAAAGTGGAGGATTACTGACCCGGTGTGGGGAAATTTATTCGTTTATTTATTATATTCGTTTGCCCTTCCTAAATATTAGTAATCTCATGAAACTTCAATCCAAATTCCTTAAACATGTATTAAATTCTTTATTAATAAACAATACTACATTAATATATGACTTGTAGTATGTGTAGCAAGAAAACCGATAATCGTGCGCTCGCATCATTAACTTCCTCATCTCTGCTCGTAGTGCAAAATAATCATCAACTGCACTCGTTGACATGAGTTGCGTGTGCTGTGCTGTGCTGGGTTCTGGGTGCTGGATGCTGGATGCTGTTCATGTTGGTGTTGCGGCCTGTCACAATTGAAGTTTATTGCGTCTGTATAGCGTGCACGTGCTCTCTCTCTCTCTCTCTCCCGCTCTCTCTTGCTGCCCCATTCCCCCATTTTCCCCCACCCGCGATGCTAAATGTAAAAGTGTCATTTTCGCCATATGTGTGCGCGATGAACGATGCGTCGTTGTCGTCGTCCTCCGCATCCACAATCGGTAGCGATGATGTTATTGTTTGCTGTTGCTGTTGTCGTTGTTAATAATGTCAGCAGTACAATTGCAGCAACAAGAACAACAACAGCGTTGGCAGCAGTTGGCAGAGCTGCCTGCCTGCCGTTGAAATTTATACAAACGAGGCCCATGTCTGAGGTTAAATACGAAAAACATAACAATACAAATTCGCACACGCAGCCAACTATATACACACATACACACATACACACACGCACATATGTACCTTCTGATGGACCTTATGTACATTTATATGTATGTGTGTGTGCGTGGAGATGAGTGGGTGGTTGTGTGCATGGGCGGGTGTCAAAGCATTTGGCGCTGCTGTTGATGGCATGGATAGGATGCCGCGATGGTTTTATTCGTCTAACGACAAGAACAATATTGGCTTATTGGCTGGGTGGCTATTCCTGGATGGTGTGTGCTTTCGTCCTGTTTACATGGGTAGTTTAAGTTAGTTTTATTAACATTCAAAATGTGTCTGACAAGTGATGGCTATAATACGTTTGTGGATTAATTTTAATTGTAATTTAAGCCACTCATTCATTGTATATCATTTAAGCCACCCAAGTTTTGACAATGAACTCAAATAATGCAATACAGCCAATGCAGAGAATTTTGGTCATTATCTCTTTCCAATATTTAATTTTTAATTACTGAATTAATTGTAATTTTGATTCAAACCAGTCATTCATTGTATATCATTTAAGCCATCCGAGTTTTAACATATACACTCTTTTCAATATTTAATTATTGTGCCTTTCTAAATGTAATCAATAGCTTTAAAAATAAATACTCGTATACCCATTAACCCCTTTACAAGGTATAAGTGCACGGAACTGCTTGTTGTAACAACTGCTTGGGTGTGGTCCATTTATATGACCTGAGAAGTTTTTTTTTCGATGGAAATTAAAACGGTTCTATAGGAAAAATAATAACAGGATAAGTTAACTAAACTGACAGTCAGTAAACTTACACGGCAGTAAAATGTCCTCTACCCAAAACAAAAAAAAATCCGCGTTTTGAAAAAAAAAAGAAAAAGGAACCGCCGTTTAAAATAAAAGGAGTAGTACTCAAGAACAGTAAAATAAATGAAAAATAAATGAAATGAGCTCTGCATACTAGGCTTTGTTAATGTCGACTTGACCGTTTCCAAAATCCAGAAGTTCATCTTGTCATGATTAAATAGAATATATACAAGTGGGAACGTATGGATATTTCTTACTACGAAAATTGTATTACTTAATGAAACTTTAAATCTTAGTATATGCGTACTTTCCGATCTTTTATTAAAAAAATCAGTTTTTAAGTATCTGCTTTTGTTACCATTGGCGCTCACAAAAATTCGATATTATTATAATATCTTGTAAAATTTATTATAAATAAAAACATGTTTTCTATACAAAAATCAAGTGGTGATCTGAAACCATTTATCTATTAATCCGCGCTTATTTTATGGGTATTACAAGATTATTAAGCTCAATAAACTTTTGCTCTTTTCAGTGAAGGGTATAGATGTGTAAGGCTCTATTTCTGATATTATAACTATACAAGTATATTACCAGATTTATAAAATTTGCTTAGTTTCCAAACTGATTATTCCACCCGCGCTCGCTGCCAGTTCGCAATTCTAGCGATATGTTGTGGCTGTGAGTGATAAACGCACATTTGTTTAACAATTAACGTGTTTGCAGCACATGCAACTTTATTTATGCCCTGAATAGTCGATAGAGTTGTGGGCGGGCAAGCGTCCATAAAAGGACGCGATCTCGGTTGTCATTAAGTTTTTTTTACTGCTAATTAGTTTTACTTTACTTTGAGGATGCTTTGGGAATAGCGTACTTGAGATTCATGATATTTGCCATAATCGTGCATATAGAATTGTCGAAATATACTTTTAGATATAAACAAAAAACATCTACATACAAGATATGTTTAGCAATTCATAGAAAACTATCAATGAGGAATTCATTAAGTTATTTATAAACTTTAAAAAACAATTAAAATGTGAATAAAAATTTAAATTGTAAAAAAGTAATGATAAATGATATGATAAATGATAATGATAAATAAATAAAAATAATAATAATAATGAACCTAAAAAACGTGGCTAAATCTAAAAGTTTCTTTAACTTGGAGAGGGGGAGGTCGTACTGATATAAAATTGTGTTGTGTAAAGCTTGCGAATTTTGGACAGTATTGGCGGCATTCTATAGCTCGCCTTGTTTAAGGATAGAAAAAGTATTAGCAAAAACAAAATATAGATTACTTTAAATAAATTCTAGAGTGCCCATCAGGGACTATTAGAGGAAGAACCAATATGTATATATTAAATAGAGTTTATCATATTAGTATAAGCACATAGATATATATTTAATTGGCATAAAGCAACAACAACAAAAAAATGATAGAAAAAGTATACATATGTTCATACATATTAGGTGGGTGCTCTTTTAGGGTATATAGTATAACGACTATAAAAATAATGCTCAACAAAGAGTACAGCTGCTGACACAACAAATTAATCTTAATTCTCCAGATCTACTCACTTCTTCAGCTCGTTGTTACTATTTTCTTTGAGTGCTATGATATTTGTCAACTATAATAAAAGGCGACTTAAGACTGTTGCTCTCCTGATTTTGGATTTGTTTTTCTCATCTTACGAAAGATTTATTTGCTGACTAGAATAAATAATAAATGTAATAATTGTTATTATAATTTTCGTTTTCTGCATCATCAATTGGATTATTTATTTTAATTAAAATATAATAAAAATTCTAATCAACGAGAACATTCTTGTCTTTCCCAGATCATCGAGGATGAATGTCGATGACTTGGACGACACGCATTTATGCATCAAATGCAATGCCACTATAGTGGGTCTGGAAAAATACATTGAGCACCGGAAGCAGAACTGCCTAGCAACTACGGGGCATGTGGGGGGCAGTGTGGGGCTGGCAAAGTCTGTGGCAAGGCCGATGCCGCTGCCGACAACTACAATCCAGGAGTCCAACTCTGTGACTGTGTCGCCCCCAATCATAAGTCGCTCAAGTCTAGATCATACCTACGATGGCTTTCATTTTACAGAGCCCGAGGCACCAAGCAGCTATTTGCGCAAAACTGCGGCCAGTCATGGTGGCAAGACCTCAAAATCCCTGACAGACGCCTACGATTTGACTTTGGGAGCCGATGTCTTCTTCTCATCACTACAACTGCAGAGCGTACAGGGAGGAAAGACAGGAAGCGCGCGACACGAGCGTCACAAATCCCGGAGTGCAGATCAGTCGGATGAGCAGCGGGATGAGCTTCCCTGGCATCGCAATGCCCAGGCCTGCACAGATACGCTGATGAAGGCGGTGCGGGAAATCGGCGAGTCCAAGAAGCACGACGAAACTGTATTCAAGCCGCTCAAATTTGTGCACGACTCCCCGGAGGAGAGTGAAGATGAGCAGGCCGGCTACGATGAGGGCGAACTCTTCGAACCCGAAGCCGAAGCGGATGCAGAAGACGATGACGACGACGGAGATGCTGATGCAGATGGAGATGTCGATGCGGATGCGGATGTGGATGGTGATGGCGGTTATTCGTTGCGGCATTCGCCGCCTGCTGTACCAGCCGAGCACACAGGTGGCAAATGGAAACCGGAGCATCGACCCCAACTACACGTAGTCACGCACATGCAGCGCATTTCCCCCAACTGGGACGAGCACGTGGACGAGCCAGGCGAGGAGCATCCGCCCGAGGAGCACACACGCGGTAAATGGGTGCCGGGCAGCAAAATGTTGGAATACCGCGAGAACCTAATCGATCTGACCCGACTGAGCCAACCGAGCACCTATTGGTGCAACATTTGCTGTCGCAAGCTCAACAGTTGTGCCAACTACGAGCAGCACTTGAAGACCGGCTACCATCGACGACGCGCCGACGGCGAACGTCAACTGGAACAGGCCAAGCTGGGCGGTACCTTGCGCATTGGCGAGAATTTCGACTTCGAACGGGAGGAGGAGGCAAAGTCCGAGGTGCCGCAACAGCGTTGTCGTCGTCGTCATCGTCGGGCCAATTCGCTGCGCTGCGATCTCTGCCGTCATAACGTGCAACGTCATCTAATGGGCAAGCATCTGATCTCGCACTACCACTACCGCCGTCTCCAGCAACAGCAGACCGAGACCCGTCGCCAGAGCGCCCTGCACACAATACTCGAGCATATGCCTAGCATTGTGCTGCAGTCGCCCTTCCAGTGTCGACCCTGTCGCTTTTATTGCAACACTCAGTCCACGTTCCTCACCCACTGGCAGTCCGAAGCGCATCTGCAGCAGACCAGTCGGCTGAAGGACTTGAGGACGCACTTCTGGTGCAGCTACTGCCAGTACGAGTGCCCCAGCAATGAGGAAATGTTGTGCCACCTCCTAAGTGGCACACACGAGCAGGTTCTGCTCGCTCTCAATCGATCAGTGCCCATCTGCATTGGACAACGCCAGCCAGTAGTGTGTACAGTATGCGATCAGCACTTTATATCTAACATGGAACTGAGACAACATTTTACACGTGACCATGTGGGTCTCACAATTACGGGCAGTGCTGCTGACAACTACCAGTGCCGCTTCCGATGCGATCTGTGTGGAGAACCGCAGCGATCACGAATTGCGCTGCAACGGCACGAGAAGCGCATACATCGTTTAAACAAATACTATTGCGCCATTTGTCATCTGGATTTTGAAACAGCGCTCCAGGCGCGACGCCATCGCAATCAAATGCAGCACAAGCGAAAGGCCAATCGATTGAAGAGCAGAACAACAACACAAAGCAATGGTAATTACTCATTAAGCATTAATTCTGAATAAACACTTTCTAAAAAAAAAACTAAATAAAATGGAAATAATTTTCTATAACGCACACTCTAAAGTTCCCAAAGTATCTACCAAAAAGCTAATTACTTTGATTCGTTCCGACAGCCAGTATTTTATTTCTCACACAAGTACGTTTTAATATCTATTTAACGAACATTTTCGAATTTATTCAATGAATATACAAGTATAAGTACATAAGTACTTTCCAATATTTATTTAACGAACATTCTCCAATTTTCGAATGTTATTTAATTTATATTTTGCAATAAATCAAATTAAAAATTAATTATATTCTTATTTAAACAAACACAAAAATTGAAGAAAAATCGATAAAAACCATTAAAGGAGTAATTTATAGACAAAACAAAAATTCTTGAAAAAATGTGAAAAATTGAAAAACAAATTCTGTTCATTCAATCGCCATGAAACTTGACAGAATCATCCACTGAACTATTTTAAATATTGCCACAAAATTAGATCAAAATCGTTTGAATGGTTTCGGAGTCTTTAGGGAACATACATACTTCGATTTTTATCTATATGATGATATATTTCTAATTTCTCTAAATTTGACACTTTATTTATAAACTATTTAAATATTGCCACATCATTTGATAAAAATCGTGTGAGCGGTATCGGAGTCTTTAGGGAACATAAATGCACACTCAAAATTGGATCAAAATCGTTTGAGCAGTTTAGGAGTCTTTGGGGAACATACATTCCAATTTTATTTATATGATGATTTAATTCTAATTTCTCTAAATTTAACATTTTATTTATAAACTATAAACTAAACTAAACATTGCCACAAAATTGGATCAAAATCATTTGAGCGGTTTCGGAGTCTTTAGGGAACATACATATGTACAAACTTCCATTTTTGTTCTTATGATGATTTATTTCTAATGTTTTTTTTTTCAACTTAACATTTTATTTAAAAACTAGAAACAACAACTCAAAATGAACTGGAACACATGCTACGCGAGGTTCTGGACGAACCCAAAGAGCCCATCCCGAAGAAGACAGTTACTAGTCCGCCCGCGAAAAAGAGTCGCCAGCAATTGAAATGCGTCAATTGCCAACAAATCTTTGATACTCCGCAAAATCTTGCCCAGCATCGCGTCGAAGCACACGCCGCAGACAGTCATCCCTGTCCTAGTTGCGGAAGTAGCTTTCAGTCCGCACAGGCCTTAGGGCGTCATAGTCGCAGCTGTCAACCGATGGCTTCTACATCGGCGGCCGCTGCCGCAGTCAGAGCCCTCGACCCGGAAGAATCTGGTAGCAGCTCTAAGCTCCGACACTGCAGTGAGTGCAACTTCCGAACGCCGTATGAATCGGATTTGCTTTATCACCGCTTCTTTCACACACACGGCACTATTGGCAAGAGCGAGGTTCTCCAGTGCCCTTTGTGCCCCAAGGGATTCCGCAAGCACTCGCTGCGCGATCATTTGCGCAATCACACAAACGAACGCATATACGAGTGCACCGAGTGCCAGATGAAGTTTGTCCGGCGCCACAATCTCAAGAATCATATGGCAACGATGCATAGCCAATACACAAAGCGTGCCGTAACCAAGCCGCAAAAAAAGGAGCCCAAAGAAAAATTTCAATGCGGCACATGCGGCAAGATATTGTCCTCGAAGTGAGTACAACTCCGATTTTATTATCTGTACTGTACGATTATTTAAAGTGAAATAATTGTTCATCAAATATTGTGGTTTATATATTTAATGCCTTTGTCTTTTAAAGAAATTGATTTTAAATAACCTCTGATTTTGAATATCCCTCATTAGAACGAACTGTCCGATTAATATGATCCGAAAATTTGACCCTGTAATTGAGCGAGAGTTACAAATGGGACAAGCCTTTTTGTCCTTTAAGTTGGCAGCACTGTCGTTCTTCTTCTTTGCTTACATACATACAGTGACGAACAAAATTATTGGCACAGTTGGCACGCCTGACTTTCGCACAGTGTTTCTCCACTCACCATATTGATATTTAAATAAAACAAATTTTATTCATATAAATTGATCAATTTCCTACTAAAATTACTTTATTTCATTCATTTATATTTTTCCATTAATTTAAGAAAATTAAAAATATAAAAAAACAGCCGTTTTCGCCTGAACAAAATTATTGGCACACTTGGGTAATAGTGAACTATATTTTCAAAATTTCAACAATATGGCAAAATTTTTTTTCAAAACCCCGTTATGTTTATATTTGGAATGACATAGTTGTAAATGTTTGTGTTAAAAACCACGCAGTGCCTTTTTTTATAAGCAAAATCTCTAAGATTTTAACAAAATGAGCGGCAAACAAAAGGAAACCACTGAATCTCAGCGGAAAATAATTTTGTATTTGCATAATCAAGGCAAATCATATGCTGAGATTGGAGAAATTATGGATAGAAGCCGGTTTACCATTCGGAGCATTGTCCAGCGTTTTAAAGGAGCCTTAACATTGGAGAGTGCTAAGCACACTGGTCGACCCAAGGCTTTGACCGACCGGGAACGCACTGAGATCATCAGGAAGGTGAAGGTGAACCCAAAAATCTCTTCAACACAGATTGCAGCTCAGGTTAATAATGAATTTAGAAAAGATATTCACCCGATTACGGTTCGGAGGACACTGCACAAAGCTAAATACAAGTGCCGCGTTGCTAGAAGAAAACCACTTATTTCAAAAGTCAACCAGAAGAAGCGCTTAGCCTATGCAAACGAATATTTGAGTAAGCCGATGGACTTTTGGAACAATGTCATCTTTTCCGATGAAAGTAAATTCAACATTTTTCAATCTGATGGCCGCCAAACTGTTTGGAGAAAGCCTAATACGGAACTGGAAAAAAAAACATCGCTATGTCTGTAAAGCATGGTGGTGGAGGCGTCATTGTGTGGGGCTGCATGTCCGCTGGTGGTGTTGGCGAACTTGAATTTATAGAAGGAACTATGGACAAAAAGTATTATTTAGATATCCTTAAGAGAAATCTAAAAAAAAAGTGCCGAAAAGTTGAACATACCAGCCACGTTCACGTTTCAACACGACAATGACCCAAAGCATACGGCTTATGATCTGCGCATGTGGCGTGCACATCATGTAAAACATACTTTGCCGCATCCGCCCCAATCTCCAGGTCTAAACCCCATCGAACATTTGTGGGAAGAATTAGATAGACGTGTAAAAAAACGCGCTATATCTACAAAGGCCGAGCTGAAGGTGGCACTGGTGGAGGAGTGGCGCAATATTGGATCAGAAACCACTCCAAGTTTGGTTTCTTCGATGCCCAGACGCTTGGAAGCAGTCATTAAACATAAGGGCTTAGCCACAAAATATTAATTTATGTTTAAAAACGGTTATTTATGTTAATTTTAAGTATTTTTGGTTAAGTGTGCCAATAATTTTGTTCAGGCGAAAACGGCTGTTTTTTTATATTTTTAATTTTCTTAAATTAATGGAAAAATATAAATGAATGAAATAAAGTAATTTTAGTAGGAAATTGATCAATGTATATGAATAAAATTTGTTTTATTTAAATATCACCATATTTCATGGAGAAACACTGTGCGAAAGTCAGGCGTGCCAACTGTGCCAATAATTTTGTTCGTCACTGTATATAGACGTGTGTTTTCTTCGATTAAATTCTGTGTAAAGAATGGAATTTCTTTAGACGAAATTTAGAGAATGTTGAAAGAGATACTTGTACAATAAACAGGCTATATAAAAAAACACATTTAAAAATAGCATAAATGATTGAAAGAGGGTCGCAGAAACCGTCGCAGACGAACCATATCCAAGACGAACGAGAACAGCACTTGATCAAAGAGACGTTAAGAATATCAAAAAATTGGGGCTCTATAATTATTTGTCGATTGGCTTGAGACATTGCAGGATGCTGTTGGTATTTTTAAAGCATCATTTGAAGCGAACTTTTATATCAAATCTTCAGTTTGGTTCCAAAAACAATGCAGCACTCGTTCTTCGTAACCATTTCGCAAAAAAAAAAAGACCCATTGATGCTCCAGAATTGATTGAAACTTCTCTAGAGATATTGCAGATGCTGTTGATATTTGTAAAGCATCAGTCAACTCCATTTTAAGATAACTTGTATATCAAATCTCCAGTTTGGTTCTAAAAACAATGCAGCACTCGTTCTTCGTAACCATTTCATCAAAAACAAGGCCTATTTCCTTCCAGCTTCGTGGGACACCGTTATTATACGATTTAGCAGATTAAGGCCGGTACGAACAAGAAACTGAAGAAAAAGACTTAAAAGTTATAATGAATCAGACATTGCCGGAACACCCATGTTGTTCAGAATTTCAACCGAAAACTTTATTATCATTTCCCATTTCTTCACAAGCTGCCTTTGGCTTGTGGCACTTTCCTCACAACAACAACACAATGACAACAACAACAACAGTAGCAATTATGCGGTCTAATGGCGGTTCTAATGAAGCTTCAGTTCCGATGTGGGGGACGCAGCTGTCTTTGTTTTGGATTGCTGCACAGAGAGAATATATTCTTTGCTTCTTTTTCGTCGGGCGATTGCACTTTATCGCAGCATGACCGCAGGCTCTTGATTTGCGAGTGCATTGCATACTTCGTGGCTAGTGTGTCCGGCATTGCAATGGGACTCGCATCCTGTGTGTGTGTGTGTGTGTGTGTGAGTGTGTTCTGTTCGCGTTATTTGGCCGGAATGTTCTGCAATTAATGAGTTATTTTTTGGTTGCTTATTTTGTTTATGTGTGTGTGTTTTTTTTTTAGCAACAATTTGTTTTAGCTTGGAATTTTTAATTAATGCAACACACGCGCTCATTTGTTGTGTTTCTTTTAAGATTTTCATAATGGCAATGCAAACTATTTGGCACAACAAATTGTATGACATTTTCATATGAAAATTGCATAAGCATGGGTGTGGCAGTTCGCCTCTAGGGCTCTTGTACGAGTATGTTTTTGTTGCCTGTATTTCTAATTAGCGTTCTTTGTAGTCTTGCAGATATGCACACTAAATACAAACATGTATTTACATAGCGCAAATGTATTTTATTTTTTTAAACTTCAATTCGGAGGATTAATATGCATACATCCAATCGTTAATGTATTACAAATACTACCTAATTGTGTACAGAGCAATATTTGATTTAGCAGAGAAATATTTAATTTAATTTAATATTTTAAAAATATTTGATATAATAGAGAAATATTTGATTTAACAGAGAAATAAATGATTTAACAGAGAAATAAATGATTTAGCAGAGAACTATTTGAGTTAACAGAGAAATAAATGAATGAACAGAGAAATAATTAATTTAACAGAGAAATATTTGATTTAACAGACAAAATTTTAATTTAACAGAGAAATATTTGATTCAACAGAGAAATACTTGATTTAACAGAGATATATTTAATCGAGAAATATTTAACTTAACAGAGAATATTAGATTTAGCAGAGAAATATTTACTTTAACAGAAAAATATTTAATTTAACAGAAAAATATTTGATTTAACAAGGAAATATTACATTACATATGTACATATTTGATTTAACAGAGAAAGGTATGTTTTAACAGAGCAATATTTGATTTAACAGAGAAACTATTGATTTAACACAGACATATTTCATTTAACATAGAAATATTTGATTCAACAGCAATATTTGTTTCAACAGGGAAATGTTTAATTCAACAGAAAAATATTTAGTTTTAAATATAAGATGGGAGAGCGAACGCGGCTTAGCTAGTCAGGAAAATCATGTTTCAGTTTTAAAACACGACCAATTCTCATTAGTGGAGTCCTGCCAAGACTACTGTCAAAGTATATACATACTATATATATATCAATGTTCATTGTAATGCTTCGATTTCTTATGAGACTAATACAAACTTGTAGAGAAAGCCTCCAGACTCGACTTTTGAGTAATACATCGAAAACTTGTTAATCCGGAAAAGTATAAGAAAGGGTTTTCAACGTTTTTTCAAATACTGCAGGAAAAACCGTATAGTTTGTGGCTCTCACGATCTCAGTTAAATATTAAATAAAATTTTTAAGAACTTTGCAATGATAAGTGTGCATAAATGTCAATATTTTAAGCCACCTTAATCAAGTGGATAAATTGTTAACACAACAGAAAATCTCTTAAGCACTTAATCGTAACTTGAAAACATAAGTGCCAATGTCATAACCGAGCTGGCATGCCAACCAAAGGATGTCCAATGTCCAGAGCCGGCCCACTGCTGCCAACTTTCAACTAATTCCTTGAGCAAACATTAAGTTGAATTGCAATGGCCTGAGCTGCATAACTGCATGCATAAAATAGGAGGGAGGAGTACTGGGAGACGGCGAAGCTGCTGCTGGAAAAGAATTTTCCACTTTTCAAGTGATTATTTGAAAAATTTATTAAAATGCTCATTTGAAGTTATTGTCGTGCACGCTTGATGTAGATACTTTGCTTTTACGACTAACGAGACCGAGATGTGAACGAGACGACGACGACGACGACGACGACGTGGACGTGGACGTGGACGTAGACGAGGTGGACGTGGACTGAGCCCCCAAGTGGCCCAAGAACAGAGCACAGGCAGAGGCAGAGTGCAAAGTTTCAGCGCGATAGAAGGATGTGGACGACGTCGTCAGTCATGTCAACGCAGCGCAGCATACTTCCGGAACTCCAGACGCGCTCAACTAACTCAACTTTTACGTATACGGAGAGCAGCCGAGTGGCCACGACTACGGCACTGGCACTGCCACTGGCACTGGCTCTGTTCTTTCGCCAGCCGTCAGCTTGAAGTTTGAGGCGTTTCCCAAGTTGAGCCGCCGAGTCGAGCAATTCACTTTTATTGAAATGGCGTGCAATGTTCTGTTGGTTGCTTGGTTTTCCTTTTTTGCTTCGCTTTTCCAATTCGTCGTTGGCTCCACAACTACTCGCTCTCTCTTCACACGAGTATGTGTGTATGTGTATGTGTATGTGAGTGTGTGTGTGTCTGTCTGCTTAGTTTATTTTATTTTGTATTTTAAGTCATTTCTATGCTGCATCATCCGTTGTCCGGGAGTTGATTCTGTTGATGGCACAAAGTGCAGTGCAATTCATTTTAATGGCCGTCGCCGTCGTCCTCTGCCGAGCTCAAGCTCTGCCCTCTTAGTCCTCCGTCGCGCGTTATTCCGTCACTTGAGAGTCAATTTCACAAAAATAGAAAGAAACGAAAAAAAGAAAACTTGATTTCACATTTCCAATTCGGCCGTCCCGCCGCTCCCTCCCTCCCTCCCTACTCGCACGATTTAGGTATTTCTTCTCCCCACTTCCTCCAATTCCACTTCCACATCTCATTCATTCATTTTTATGCAACTGCAAAATTGAGTCAGACATTGTTCGGCATTGTGGGCTCTGCGGGCTCTGCGGGCTCTGCGGGCTCTGGGTGAGCAGAACGTGTTTGGGATTGCCTCAATTGTTGATGTTCAGGCAGCAAAGTGTTTGTTTGTGCCAGGCCCTGGGACTATTTTGTGCTCCGAGTCATGAGCTCACATTGTCAGACCAAATCAAAGTACTATACTGTAGTGCTTCAAATCGATAAAGCTAATTCAATTAGACAGTTAAGTATTGAAGCAAGGGCTATAGTTTATAAATTACCTTAAAAGAGCACAATTTAATAGATTTATTCTGTTCATTAGCGTGGTCTAGACTTTTAACCAAAACGCATATAAACACATCCGAATTTCCGCATTTTTCTAACAGTTCCTACACATATCTATAAAGTATAAGCGATTTTCTATTTATTTTTCATCACCTTTTATATAAAGAAGCACAGAAAGATCTATCCATTTGTTGTCTTTTAGACCTATTCCGAACGAAAAGCTCTTTTCCTGATCACAAAAATTGCTGTGGAAGCAAGGACTATAGTTTTCAAAATACATTAAAAGAGTACAATTTAATAGATTTATTTTGATCATTAACTTGGTCTACTCTTTCAAGCTAAATGCATTTAAACACATCCGGAATTCCGCATATCTAGAAGTATACGCGATTTTCTATATATTTTTCATCAATTTTTAAATAAATAAGCACAGAAAGTTATATCCATTTGTTGTGTTTTAGACCTATTCCGAACGATAAGCTCTTTTCCTTATCACAAAAATGGCTGTGGACAAAACAAAACGTACCTAGTTTCCAAATATTACTACAAATTTTACTGAAATTTGTTCAGTTTCGCAAATCACGCAATTTAGAAACTTTCTGACGATCAGAGCGAACAATGAATGGGGCCTTCTATCTTATAATCAAGTCCAAGCATAGATACAAATAACAAAGAAATTGTTGAAGAATAACACCCATATAGGTTATTTGATAATAAATAAAATTTTAACTAATTTTGAAGTAGTTTTCAAATTGATTAATTGAAACAATCTCTAACCTAATAGCATTCGAACTGATTTTAATTCAGATGTCTATTCTAAAGAAATCCAACTACTATTTCATGTTTTTTTTCGAACCCAAAAGTTACTTTAATTAAAATGCTAAGATTAATTCCGTAAATTGTTTTTAAAGAAGTCACCTAGCTATAATACAGAAAAAAAAAAACCTTATCAACACTTAGTAAAATATTATCAATTATATGGAATTATAATGTAGAGCTACTCTATTATTCTTAGGTTATTTTTCTGAGCGCACTGTTTGCTTAACTGTCATTACTGTTTAACATATATTTAAGCAGCGTGTTTTGGATCAATTCTTATGTATGCTGGATCTATTCGTCTTTCCTGAAAATAAATATAGAGAAAGTATTAGCGTGCGTGTATAAATAAATCAGAATATAATGCCTTATACGAACCTCTTCTGGTTTCATCAGCGCAAACTTTCCATATGGCACTTCCAAGCTTAAAGGCGGTTGTTTACTGGGCTCTCTGATCTCCTTCAGTATATTGTAAGCCTCAAATATGAAATCACGGCGAATGTTTTCGGCATATATTCGGAATAATTTGAGCTTTGTGCATGATTTCAGAATTCTTAAAGCAGCGTTCGAAATGTCGGTGTCAGACTTCAACAAAATGGAAAGTTCTTCCAATTCTGTTAGCTGAGTTAAAAGATCAACACACTCTATATCGGAGAAAGAGCAATTTAGTTCCTTTAGGGACTTTATGTGGACGATTTCCTGAGTCTCATCAAATGTCAGCATGCCGCGTTTAATGCTTAAACTTTCCAGCAACTGAGGATCCCTGGCTACCAAGCTCCTGAAGAGCTGCACAGTGGAGTCCGTTTGCTGGTATTTTCCAATAATGTGGAGATGTTTCAGGTTGGGAAGCTGCGCAAATGCCCCATAATCGTAGCTATCACATTTCGATTTGAACCAAATGTACAGCTCTTCAAGGCTAGTACAGTACGGTACTAGATCGGCTGGTTTTTCGGGTATAATGCGACAGACCCGAAACTGTAATGAACGCAGTTTCGGATTTGATTTCAAGAATGCAATCCATTGAGGTGTGGTCATGCCTATGTCTGTTGAGAGTTCCTCAAGGTTTAGTTCCTTCAAATGATCTCCTTTGAAACCTGAAAATATGTATAGGGAAAATGAGAAAAACTTTTAGAACAATGACAATTACAGTGAAATCTCCCTTAATGGGCACCTCTTTTATACGGACACTCTCTTCGAAGGAAACTTTTTCTAAAACATTCGATCGGTGTATAAAGTATTTAAGTATCCCCTTAAGCGGACAGTCCCTTATCAATAACATGTAAGCAGACTTTATTTAAAAACCAACTACAACAAAAGACTTCAACTTCTAAAACAGTTAGCATGATGTCTTTATATAGTTTTGGGAAAGCTCCTATAGCCATTAAGTGGAACCCCAAAGAAATATTTTGGTTTTTAAAGGTTTGTAAATCTGATTCCATTCTTCTTTATTCTTGAGTGGAAAAAAGAAAAGAAATGAAGCCGTAAGCATTCTTAATAAACCTTGTAACAATTTATTAATAGCATTTCGTTCTTGATACAACTATTTTCGAGTCGAGCAAAGAATTAAGTAACTAATTTTTCTTCTAAATGTACATCATTTAAATATTTCTTTCTGCATTTTACGGCTGCGCAGTCAGCGTCAATTTCTATTGGGACCGAAAAGCTTTTGAGCTTTAAAGCTCTTTAGCAAACGTTGTGCTTAACATCTGGTTGAGCCAAAAACTACTAAAACTACACACCCATTTATTAAAAAGCCACTACAGTCATTTGAAATAGATAGGTTTTTCATTTCCCCATCAGCACTTACCTTGATTTGTGAGAATGTTGAGGCTCTTAAGGTTGGGTAACAGACTGAGAGCTAGAAAATATCGATCGAATATACGCCGAGAATCTGCATACACTCCGCACAAGACAAGTCGTTCCAAAGAACGCATATTGCCAATCGCTTCGAAGTATTGTTGATAGAAGAGCTCTTCATTAATATTTTTGAGTGCGTTTAAGAAACCTTGGCATTCTTTTACATTCACGAGCAATTTCTTGACATTAGCGCTGACGATAAAAAACAGCTTGATACTGTCTTCAAAACAGTTATCCTCAAGCTTATATTCTGGATATAGAATCGGCGTTCTGTCTTTCAACACCTGCCGAAATCTTGTGCAGACGCGCGCAAAATTAATTTGATCCTGAATCTCTAGATATTGTAGCAAGTGGCCCAAACAATCATCGTCTAGTTGTAATATATGGAAGTCACTCATTTTGTATCCACTTTAATTGAAATAGTTACAAACTATCTAGAACCGAACTGGATTGCACAGAATTTGATAAACAAATGAGTCAACATTATTAAATCAGCGAAAGTTCGATCAGCTGTTTAATAAAGACACTATTCAACTTTTAAAAGAACCCCACAAAGCTCATTTAACCAGAAATGAATTAGTTGATAACGCGCGAAAGCTTTCAATATGAGCTTTTCTATATAAATACTTAAACAGTTATGTCTATTATGTTGTTCAAAAAAAGCAAGAACGCAATGCTAGAGTCGAATGGGTTGAATACCCTATTTCCACTTCTACATAATGAAAATGATTAAAAAACAAACTGCGTTTTTTTTATTTTGTTTTTTTTTTTAAGTCAACAAATATATAGAATATCAGTACGCTATTATTTCAACTTAAAAGATAAGAAAGCTCAAAAAATAAATAAAAAAGTGAAAAAAAAAATAAAATAAACTCGTGTTGCTTGGATATTAAGAGAGTCTACACCAAAGGTTTGATGAATGTGGGCTCAACCGTCTCCGAAGTCCAGGCGTTCATCCAGACAGACGTGTATGGCTCTATGGATTCATGTCGTCATGTTTTCTTCTCCCTTCACTCTTCGTGTACACGGTATAACAATAATGTCTATTAACGCCTCCGAAACGTTGGGGGAATTTTATTTGCCATACTGCCATCTATAAATCCAATGTAGTCAGAGCAAAACGAAAGAAAGGAAAATCTCCTATTCGGTGGGGGAAAGTTTAAACGACAATCCGGCAAGCTGTGCCCTAATTTCGACTATTTTGTGCTTACCAACAGATACTTCATTCCATTCATATTATCTGCGTGCTTCAAAAAGAAGCCTCTGTGCAAAGTTTGAAAGCGATATGAAAAATAATATTAACTTATACATACACCAAATATGCCCCCACACTTTTTGAGGGCACCATATATAACCGCAATATTTAATATAGAAGAATACATATATTTATCAGGATAACTTTTATCACTTTATCATTATATGCCCCAACATGTTCTGATGTTTTATTAAATTCTTAATCAGCATGACGAGACAAATCAACCTAGACATAAGCATCTGTCCATTCGTCCGTCTGTATGAACGCCTAGATTTAGAAAACGATTGGCATTTCATACATTTTTTTAAAATTAATTTTTTGTGGTCGATTCTGGTCTTCTAGTTCAACTCAAAACTATTCAGCGAAATCATTTTCGAAACGTGATGTGCACAATTGACGATGGCTTTGGAAAACGTTAAGCTACAAATCGTCCAACGATTCAAACATAAGATACGAAACCTAACTAGGGCTTAACAATAAAAACTTAACTACAAATTTGGGAATGCGACAAATATGTTAATGTCTCGAAAAATGTGTAATTTGTGTGAAGAGCGGGTTAATAAATAAAAGGGTATTTGTTATAATCCAGAGAGGCACGGAGTAACAATAGTTAAGAAAGACTTCTTTCCATAAAAAAAAATGCAGCCTTATTCCCAGTGTACGCACATCTCCGTTTGAAATGAAAACAAAATAAATACACAAGTACTTAAGTAGACGAAATTTTGCTCAGGCGTTAATAATGGGGTGGACTTAAAGATGGAGATGAGGCAGACAGAGGCACATGGAACGATCCAAAGTGCAAGGGTGACGTTTAACGGTAATTTCCGGCAGAGAGTTTTGTTTAGCTCAAGTTTTGTGCAGCGATAAGCAGGAGCAGCAGCCGAAGAAGAAGGAAGGTGTCAGTGTCAGGCACTTCCCTAATTACATATGGCATAAATGTCGTCACGCCCATCCCGGACCCCAGCACCCCCCGCCCCACCCATAGCTTCAACTAATTTCACATGCAGCACAGGGCGACGCATCAAAATCCAGCTAATGTCGCGCAAGCAAACAACAACTCAGAGTTGAGCTAAGAAAACGAGACAAGACTTACGTACCAATTACATGAAAGTTTCGCCCCCGGCTCAGAGCATACGAGCAGTACGAGTTCGAGTAGATGGCAAACTTAAAGGAGCACACACACACACACACACATCCTTGTGACTGACACCGGAAGCTGTCGCTGCACTCGTGAGTAACGCTCGCGGCCCTGTGGCGAAGCAAAACTTGGCCAGAGCATCCTTGTCGCGCTTGCGAAATAGACAAGAAAGGCGCTGTCATAAATATTTATGCGAGTTTTGGGAACAACAATGCGCACAACACTATGTGACTACGAGTATGTGCTGCTTCTGCTGCTGCTGCTGCTGCTGCCTTCTGGCAAGCCGAAACGTAAACTCATAAAGGAGCTGGCTGCACACACTTCACAACCCACATACTCCAACACACATGCGATTGTCTAAGACACATCCTTCGCCTGCATTCAGCTGACAATGAGCAGCAGCAGCAGGATACATTTGCACCTGCCACACCCGCACATGTTTGCTCACCTTCGTTGCGCATCCGCCCCGTTGCACAAGCAACTCAAAATGGATGGCGTGCAAAAGTTGACACAACAGCTTCGCCGCAGACAGCAGCTGCTGTCTCTGTATGTTTGCGCTGCTTTGACAATCAGCAAGGAGTAAGGAGTAAGCAGTTCACCCATTTCTCTGTCCAGGCACTCCCTATGCTGATGACAGCGACAGCTCCAAACCCACGACAGCTCCCGCCCACTAAACAAAAGGGCAAAGTTTTCGTTGCCAAGCGTGAAACATTTCGTCAACTAATCGCAGCGTTCCAAGATTGCAACTGGAGCGGAGGCAGGATGACTGCCTGACTGGCAATGTTAGGTAGGATGCAAGCAAATAATCTTGTTGCGATATTTGAAAATTATTGATTAGAGAAAATACAAAAACTAGAGCTTTAAACATCTCTTTATAATTATTTGCAACTAAATGTTGTGGGGATGAATGAAAAAATTACTTTATTTTGAAATTTATCACAAAACATTGGGTACAGTAAATAAAAAAGAATAAATATGTTAAAACCTCAATAAATTAGGGATCAGGAATAACCAAATGTGTTTTTTTGTCTTTTTTGTAAAAGCTTACACACTAAGTTTGAATTCGATCGGTTGAAAAATTCGTATTTTTCATATAAACTTTGTGGCCTATTATTCCCCCTTTGGAGTTCGAATTTTCTAAAACCGCGAATTTGTTAAATGCTAGGTAGGATGCACGCAAATAATCTTGTTGCGATATTCGAAAATTATTGGTTAGAGAAAATACAAAAACGAGCGCTTTCAACATCTCTTAATACTTATTTCAAACTAAATGTTGTGAGGATGAATGAAAAAATTACTTTATTTTGAAATTTATTGCTAAACTTTGGGCACAGGGTATAAACAAAGAGTAATGTGCAGTTTTTTTTGTGTTTTTTCTAAAAGTATGCAAAGTTTGTATGCGATCGATGGAAAAAATTCGCATTTTTCATATAAATTTTGTAGATTATTTTTCCCCCTTTGGAGCGCGAATTTTCTAAAACAAAGCTTTTAATTTTGGCAGCTGTAGCCCACTTTTAAGAAAAAGAGTGGGCGGCTAGTAGTCTAGCACGACGCAAGATAATCCAAAAAGTAGAATAAATCCGTAAAAGTAATAAAGCCATTGTCCAGAACAGTCTGTTCAACGATTGTCCTTGACATACGCTCTCAGGCTGCTGTCTCTCAAAACATTTCTTGTGTAATGACTCGATGGTGAAATATTTGGTTTATGGATTTCTTTGTTAAGCCGAGTATATCTAAAGCTAAAAAAAGGTTCATAGGACCCAAGGAATGGAACTGAAAATTATTAAGACTATGGTCAGATGACTGGCAATGATGTTTCTTCCTTCTATTAAGCGCCATAACAACTCTTCAGGCAATTACAGTTTTCTGCTTCAAAACCTTTATTTGTAGCTCTAAGAGGGGAGTGGAATTCCCACCAAGCTTCCGTTATCACATGCGTCCTTTAATGGCAGATCAGGACGACTTATAAATATTCTAAGCGCTAACTTCCGTTGCTCCGCTGCGTTTGAATTAACGCGACTGCTGAAGCACAATATTCCTCTTAATAATGCGCGACATTAACAAAGTTTCAATCTTTAATCTAAATTCCTGTTAGCGCCAACGTCGCACCAACAATGGCCATCCAGGAACCCAGGAGAACATTGGGAGAATGTTGGGCGCCCGGGCGCCTCTTACCGACATTGTCATGCATTTCTAATGACGCGGACGCACCGTGTGGGCGTGGATCTAAAATGGGGCCGGGGGGAGTGGCTTTTCCGTGGCAGTCAACGCTGCGGCGTTGATATGTGAAATGTCACTTCGTGTGCAGTTTGAATGAATGGCGACGAGAAAAGAGATCCACGCCACATGCACTGACAAAAAATTCGCCATCATTGTTGTATAGGAAATATTTCAAAATATTTTTGAAAAAACAAATTCAAGGAATTATAAAATGCAGTAAATAGTAAAAAAGAATGTTAGTAGAGCGAACACATTAGGCTAATTATAACACTTCTGCGAAAAGCTAAACATCTTAAAAGATTAAAGCTCAACAACAACAACAAAAAAACGGCTCTGACAAAACCGGACATTCATCAGCTTTTTGCTCGTAATTATTGCCGTAATGGCGGTTTTATAGTATTTCATATTTTAGAACAAATCCAAGTTTCTTTACTTTGGTAACATTTTGGAAACCTTTTTCCTTGATTTGCCTTATAATATTCCAGTTAATACCTTTAATTTTCTAGCGAAAAACAATATAAACAAGCAGAACGCATCCTCACTCTCCTCATCTCACTGTGGTTGAGAAGATATGAGGAATGGTTCATAGGGTGTATAAGGCTGGAAGTTTACTTATAGACTTCCAATCTTTAACAGAAGCCAAAAAAAGTTCCTTATTCAACTAATAAAGTCTTTATATAGTATTATTACCTTCCTGATTAAGCTTACAAAGTTATTACAAATTTCCTGCTGCATTAAAAATGTCCGCTCAGAAAAAAAGTACATAGAAGTAAGAGAGAGGGTTCTGTACTTATTCAGTGCATGGCAGTATATATTTTCTGAAAATGCTCAGTCTACATTATTTTTCACAGTGTACGCTGGCAGACTAAATAGTCCGCTCATGCCTGTCCAAGACGATGTTGTCATTTAAGACTTGACAAAAGGATGCCATTTTACCTGCAGCACGAGAAGCTTGTTGTACATTTCTGCACCATTGCTGTTGCTGTTGCTATTGTTGTTGGTGTTGTTGTTGGCGCTGCCGCGCACGAGGATAATGGCAACGACATAATGTTGAAAGAAAGCAAACCGAATTACATACATAGTTGCAGCAGCAACAAAAACAACACAAGTATACAACAAGTAGAGATATGTATAGTTCTATCTCTTGCCTCGGTTCGTTCATAGTAGCTGTTCATGGCTGTTGTATTTTCAGTTATAACATTAACTTTTATTTCCTCAACTGCATTTTGCTGCCTTGCTCCTGCTCCTGCTCCTCTTTCTCCCCAATGTGTTTATTCAGCGCCCACAACTCCTGCTCCAAATCTCTCTACCACCTGCATTACTTCTGTCTCGCTAATTCGCTGCTGGCTGATGTGAGACGTGTTCCGGGCATTAAGGCACTCGTAAATGTATGGTCTGCTCTGGAAAACATGTTCATTTATAGCAGATTACTGGGGGAGCCAATTATGCGGGCTATATATATGATTTCACTCTTTATATATACTTGCTATATTTTAGTAATACATTTTTCGTAATATATTCACAAAAACACCAACGAACAAAGAAAAAGGTCTATATTTTTTCAAATACTATAAGTACATATTAGTACCCGAAAAATTCCTCATTGAGATGGACATAGGACGTGTTTTTCTTTGTAACCCAAAAGGACAAGAAATAACCTGCCCGTAGAAACACAAGTAAAATGCAAAACACATTATTGTTTGCCATTTGCATCAAACATCGCTGTAGCACAACATACTGTTATTCGGCAGCGCTCTCTTGCTCTAATTAACATTGTAATTTGGCACTTTTGCATTAAAAATCGCTATAACATAACATAATATAATTCACTCTCTTCATGTAATTAACATTGCAATTTGGCAGCGCTCTTGCTGTCATTACAGTGGCTGATCTGCAAACGCAAATACAATGTTAGGGCCTTGCGCTTTGACGTTTCCATCAGAAATCTCTGTAATATAACATAACTGCGTCCACAGCGAGCTTTTGCTCTGATTTACATTGTAATTTGGCACCTTTGCATTATAATCGCTGTAACATAACATAATAAAGTTCAGCTGCGTCTACAGCGCTCTCTTCATCTAATTAACATTGTAATTTAACAGTGCTTTTGCTCTTATTGCTGCGGCTGATCTGCAAATGCAGCTGCTATGTTAGGGCCTTGCGTTCGTCAAAGTCTAGGCTAGAAGTTGTGAACACCCGCGCCGCCCAGTATTTGTTGCTTTCCAGCATTCGTACACGATTAATTTGATCTCGCATTTTTGGTGGTCGGGGCGAAGCTGGGCAATCGGTTAGAGCCACAGCCATAATATACTTAGTAGTTGTCCATGGAGATTAAGAATAAATAATTATAACGCTGCCAAAAAAATGTTGGTAGCTCAACAAACATTACACTGGGAAAACTCTTCAGGTGACTCGATATTTCTAAAAAAAAAACTGATCTACTCACTCTTCTTTTTTTCTAAACAAATAAAGATATAATTGGCAAAGCTACATAAAGCTAAAAAAAACTGATCTACTCACTCTTCTTTTTTTCTAAACAAATAAAGATATAATTTGCAAAGCTACATATATTTGCAAAGTTTCAGTATTTGTACAAATCTTCCATTGCATTGCGGTTTAACTATTTATTGAAAGCATTTATATTACACATTTCTGGAAATCTTCCAGCAAATGCAGATTTTCGCAGCTTCAACTAATGTTCTACTCGAATACATGTGTATAAAAATGCTATTCTAGCCACTTTTCGTTTATGATTCGATTTAAAAAGCATTATTTTATAAATGTACGCTCATCACTAAAACTCAGATCGCAAGGTGTTGGTGACAAGCCACAATGCTGGAGTAGTTATCGCTGGAAAATAAAAATTGTATTGTTTTTTTTTTATGTCCAGTTCTATTGCATAATAAATTGTCTTGAGTTGTTCGCTGGTAGTTCGTGCCTCACTTTGCCAGTGATTGCCGACACACTAGTATACATACGTAGTAGTACAATCTAATTTTTAGTCAGAGCCGGAATGCAACCAAATAGTCTGCCTCATTTAAAGTCCACGCTGCCGCCAACAACTCTCAGCTGTTCCGATTAATTAGCATCCGTAATTGATGTGCATAAAAGTTAGCCTACGAGTTTGCAGTGCCCCTGCCCCTGCCCCTGCCCCCGACTGCTGCTGCTGCTGGTTGCTGCCTTTTTGAGTGCTGGACATGCTGGACGAGGACGTGGACGTGAACGTGGACATAGATGTGGATGTGGACATGGACATGGTAGGTCGGCTGCGCATCGAACGTGCCTTGCCCCGTCCAATTGTCCAATCGTCCAATTGTCCGATTGTCCGTTTATCCGTCTGTTCAGTGCGGCCGCCAGGGCGAGTGAAACGTGACTTTGGTGCGAATTACTTTTGCTTTGATTTAATGTAATTAAAAAATTTCAAATAAAATCTAAAGCAAAAGAGAAACGAAAATAAGAATAATAGAAAAGCAGAGAAAACCTAACGAGTGTGTCGTAACCAATGCTGTCAGATTCCATCTACATCCTTTGACGAGTCAAACTTTTTACATTTTACACTAACTCGGTCATTTCAGGTACTCCCTGAAGCAGCACGAATTGACGCATGGAAAGGTCGAACGTCGCTTTCGATGTCACCACAAGGACTGCCAGTATGCGGGACTCACGCCCGAGAATCTAAAAAGCCACTTGCTCTCCCATGCCCAAGGTGCTCACAAGTGTGAGCAAGCGAGCTGCACATATGTCGGCAAAAGTCTCAAGCATTTAAAGAGGTGAGTGCCAAAGAGTCAGTCGCTTCCTGAGTAGTATACTATTAAGGGTATTAAGAATTCAGTATGCTGATAGAGTTGCTAATTTGTGAGGCATGGCTTTGCCAGAACCCCAAACAAGCACTTCATAAAAATTGTTAGAGTCAAAGAATACTCTACTGATATATAAGATATTCCGTCACTCAAATATCAAATACTGTATTCAAGTGTGGATTGTAACATATCCTTTGTTAACTCCAACAGAAAGAAACAGAAAGACAAAGAAATGTCTATTTAAAAACATGGAAACTTACAAAAATAATAATAATAATAATAATGATTCATTCAAATATAAAAAAGGGGAAAAAGGATTAAAAAAAATAAAATTAAAAACCAACAATTCTATTTTAAAAAAAGTAGAGATTTTAAGTGTAATATTTTCAATTTATTTTTAAAATATTTAAAGTTTTTTATTGTGATCTTTTAAATTCAGTATAGTTTGTTTATTTAAATTGACAAAAAGATGACTAAATATATTGTAATTGCTACAAAGAAGTTGATTCAAAACAGTAGTTATTTTTTAATATATTCTATACCCGAAGTTTGAAACAAATATATGAAATTGTTCCCTTTTCGTAACACAGAGAAGGGGGCGAACATGTCTAGGACAACTGCTGACCAAGAATATAAATGTTCTACTCCTTTTTTACCAAGTCGGGTACATGGAATTCTAAATTGAATAGATTCTTTATTTCGTATCAGTAAATTAAATAAATGGGCTTTATTCAACAGAGAGAGAGAGAGAGAGAGAGAGAGAGAGTGACTAGAATTTATTAGCAATTGAAGAACAATTTATGTTAAGCTTTAAGTTTAATATCTTATACAAATAGGACCTTCTTAGTGTTATTTCTTAGTCTAATAATGCCATATGAATCCCATACGCTACATACTTGTACAGTGGAAACTCCTTTAGTGGACACCTCTTTTATCCGGACACTCTCTTCGGCGGACACTTTTTCTCCTTTTCTCCCCTTAAGCGGACACTCCCCTTGGGCGGACAAAAATTGGTCGACTGTGAGTGTCCGGCCAAGAGATTTCTCACTTTCCAAATTGTAATGCCATCTGATCCGTGTGTACACAATTTTGGATCATCAAGCTATTTGATGGACGTCTTTTTGAAATTAAGAAAATTGCTTATGGCTATTAAATTACTTCTGAAGCCCAATTCTTCGTACAAATGATTTAATCTTTAATACCTGCCCAGTCTTTACTATAATAACTCTTTGGAAAAGTGTTATATCTACAATATATGCTTAAAACTTTTGAATAATACGATTAAATTACTTAAATAACTGAAACAAAACAATCGCAAACTTACAAACTTGGTAAACCCAATCGAGAATTTTTTGGAGGCAGAAGATTTGGGATTTAAGATTGTTATTCTCGTCTTCAACACAAAACTGTTTCATTCTTTCTAGTATGCTTGAATAAACGCAACCGAAGATTCCCAAGTCGAATTGTGAAGCCCCATTACAAAAATCTATAAAATGCTAATCAGGCTAGAACGAACGAATGAAAAAAAAGCAAACAATTGGCTGCCTCTGAAAAATGAACGAGCGACATTTTCTACACGAATTCGGACTTTTTTTTTATGTTGGTTGCGAAGAAAGAAGCGTAAAAAGGAGCAACAAGAGCAAAAATGTCATCCATAATTGCAGACTTTGAAAGGCAATTGCATAAATTGACGAAAACAACAACAACAACTATAGCCACTATGTGTACCTACCTATAAGTATAGCTGGCAATATCGGAGGCCAATGCGAATGCGAATGCGAGCAACCAGACTGAGGTAGAGGCAGATGCAGAGACAGAGGAAGGCAGCGCAGGAGGACAGTCGCCAGTCGTACCACAAAATCGTGACTTATCGATCGTCTTTGATATGCGCATTGAATTCTTGTAATATTTCCAATGAGCCCGTTGAGATACGAGACGAGGCGACACGAGACGAGACGAGGCAGCCACATCGGTACGCTCCTCCTTCGCAGCTTCGCAGCTTCGATGCGCTGCGAGCCGGCAATCGTCGTTCATGGCCAATAATGGCACTGCCACCGTTCCTTTTGCCATTGCCAATGCCAATGCCGTTGCCATTGCCATTCCCTGCCACTGTGCAGCTGTCCGCCCCAAGAGAGATCAGCAGCACACACACACAGAGAGAGGGATAGTCACAGACATGTAACTGGCCTTTGCCTCTGAGTGTTGTGGTCCCCATCGGGATCGCTTTGATGGCAGACGACAGTTGCAGCTTTGTGCAGAGCTCCCATGTAGCTGCTTTTCTTCTTCTTATTCTTATTGCTGTTGTTGTTGTTGTTGCATTGCTCTTGAGGCAGGCTTATGGGAATGCTGTAGAACCAATTTAACCTTGAAGCCTTGAAGTCACTGTTAGGACCAGCTTGTGTTATCCTTTGCTGCCCAGATGCGATTGACACTCACATTTTGCATATTGCATATCGAAAAAGAATACACCTAATTCTGTTTTTACACGGTGGAGGGAATTTCCAAAAAACACATTTTCTGCGTATTCACATAAGGCATCTTGGACTTCAAAATTGATGTCCCTAGGTCTTATAGTCTTCGAGATATAGGCGATTATACGAACGGAGTTACGGAAAAACTCCATTATCGGGGAAGTGGGAGGGAAAATCAAAAAAATAACACAAACTCGTATATCGTATACACATATAAGGCATCTTTGTGCCAAATTTGGTGTCGCTAGCTCTTATAGTCACTGAGATCCAGGTGTTCATACGGACGGACGGACGGACAGACTGACAGACAGACAGGGCTAGATCGACTCGACTCCTCTTTTTTAAACAGTTTTTTTACACGACTTTTTCTGGAAACAAACTACCGTAAAAAAAACAGAATTAGGTGTATTATAAGTTATATAATGTGCAAGGAAGGCCTACTTACTACCAAAAGGGCAAACCTGTCTAAAAAATAGCCTTTTTTGTCTGGCTGCAATTATAAACTAAAAATCATTTGTTACTTACATGTTCCATTCCTTGCGTCAGTTTAGAGAACACTATTCTAAATACTTATATACAAATTGGTATCAATATCCCCAAGAAGCTAACAGGTTTGTCATCTAAAGCATCTATATACCCTTTACATGCAAGCTATAAAAGTGTTCTTAATTTATTTATTTCTTGTAATCTCTATCCTAGCGTTATGTTACTTTTAAATTAGTACACTAGTCACTAAATATTTACAGATCGAAATCAATGCCATAAAAAATACATATTATGTATATAATGATATCCAAATACATTGCTAATTTTATGTTATTTTTATTTGTTCTATTTTTAATTTTAGCATAACATTTTATAACTCGTTTATCGGCGGTCCAATTCACCTTTGAATTAAATGTATGTACTTTGGAAATCCAAACTGATACCGCAACTCTATTTGCTCTTATAAAAACGGTCAGTCGTTTTAGCCTGACCTGATTTTGTGTAAAGGGCGGATCGACAAAGTCTTAATCAAATCTTAAGAAAACCAATATCATATAAAGACCGACCACGTCAGATCAGTATATCATATGAACAATTTAATTAGAAGATAGCTTTCGTATAAAAAATTTGAGTATTTTAAAGACTTTGCAACCGAATTGTATATTGTTGTATATTTTTAGCCGTGTGATGAGCATTAATTTGTAGCTGATAGGTCGTTAAGGTGGCACCCATAAAGCAAATGAAACGCTTCACATAACTCTATTTTCGTTGCGTTAAAACAACAACTCTTTACATAATATTATTCCTGAGTAAATACCCATTTTTTTGAAGTGAAGCTATGTGCTCGATTTTCCGCTTAAGACGGCCAAAAAGACGAACCCAAAAATAACTACCCAAAGCGGACACTCAGAACTATTCATTTCTCAAATTATAATGGAGAATTTTTCATTAACTATGTTTTCTCGTTATTAAATACATATTGATTTAGATTGTGTTGCATTTGTTTTCCAAGGAACTATCCATAGGGGTATCATAGTAGTACAAGGATATATAGTACAAGGATATATAGCTTTTTTGAAAAATGTTTATTTAAATGATGAATTAAGCAGCTTAATACAAATGTTATTCCAATTAATTCATAAGCAGAATTAACAATAATAAATGGTACTTTGCTGTACTATATTCATAGACCTGTATAATTTTAAAGTAGATACCTTAAATTAATAATAAATGGTACTTTGCTGTACTATATTCATAAAAAATACCCTTTGTGTAGTGAATATTTTCTGTTAATCCATGATGAGCTGAAGCTTATTTAATTATGGAAATTGCAATTGATTAAAAGGGGTTATTTGGGTAAAGGGGTCAAAAAGCTCCAAGATCAGTAGCTGGTGTTAAACAAAGCAGTCTTAGAAAGAGTCTTCGAAGGATCTTATTTGAGTAGACGGCTCTCATCATGATTGCTTGGCATATTGTACATAGACTGGATAAATAGCGATACTTACGTAAAAATGTGAATTAATATTAGATAATTTTTTTTTAATATTTATTTTAACTTACACTTCTAAGCACTTTGTATGCATTTTCCCGGTGATGTTGGCTCGGCGATGTATTCTTGTATTCTTCATAAGCCTTTAAATTGAAGGCAATTCCCCAGCCATGTATTCACAGCGTCTCATTAAAAACATCGAGATCTGACCCCCAAATCAGTAAGCCACATGCTTCAGTTCTTCAAACTTCAATTAGCTGTGTGTAGTATCAGAAATTCTGAGCCATACGTTCATTCGTTCGATCTCGTTTCTTGCGATCGACGAGCTCTTGTCGTCGTCGGCATACTGCACCCGCGTTCAAAGCGGTCCTCCACACTCCTACAACTTCAACAGCGGACCGACATGAGCTGCCTTGGCTTTTTGTTTTTTTGTGTTTTTGTAAAAATAAAAAAGAAAGCCGCTAATTAAGCCTACCGAGTGCGCATGAGTCGCGGCTTCTGTCGGTGAACTGAGGCCGAAACTGTGCTTGAGATTTCACACAGATTCCAATTCCTCCTCCATTGAAGGAGCTGCGCAAACAACGCAGAACATTGGCAATTAATTGTAAGAGCCCGGCTCGGACAGTAGCCGATAAGTGGAGTGGACAACACACAGCACTACAAATGGGAATTGGCTTTGGATTTAAAACGCGCGTAACTGCAGTTATGTGAGGGAGCAAATGGCAGGGCATATCAGTTCGCAAGAACATAACGAAATCACTGAAATCGCTACTGAAATTAATGATCAAATATTGGGAGATACCATTAGAGAAAACTCTACGAACAATATTTTATTTTAATATTTTCATTTATTTATTTATCACCACTTATATTATTATATACAAAACGTATTTTAAACATTACTATTTATATAATATATTTTTCTTCTAGAAATTTCACAAAATGATTTACAAATATTAACTATTGGAACGTTTTCTTCTCCCTTAACCATAACTCCTGTATCTGCTTTAATGTATTTATTATTAGTTGAAAGACCAGTTCAATTATTCAATTTATAAAAATATTTTATAATATATAGCAGCATTAGGGGCCTTTTTGAATTGGAAATAGGATCATTTTATAACTTTAAAATTATTTCTAACACTATGACCCAGAAAATCTCGAAGTTCTCCAAAGACTACGGAATATTTATTATTGAAAATAAGTGGATATTCTTTATCCCAAGCGAGAAAGGCAATAGGTACTTAAAATACCTCATTTAAATCGTAAAATACATTGAAATTATTACTAAAACGGAAATTTCAAGACATTAAGCAATGTAATGCCTAAATATACAGGAGAGACCAGCCTGAAAGCCTTCGTTGCTCTGGCTATACATATACTTTATATATATGAAATTTTATGATTTAGGATTAATTCTAAGTTACAAAATGAAAGAGATGAAAAATACCAGAAACAAACGACTATTAATTTAGGAAACATAGGATCTAAAAATCGTAGGAAAAAACAGTCTAAAACTTTACTTTCCTGGGCACTTGTGATAAAAAAGTCTTCCTAATTAAGTAAATCATAATAATTGTAACATCGTTACCTTTTTAAAATGTGAGGGATATAAATTTATATAAATAAATTTATATTTATATAAATACTAAAAATAAGAAATTAAATTCCTGGGAACTTTTGTTAGAAAATTCTTTCTCCAATCTGTAGGTAATGAATGGAAATAATTAAGATAATCATTATAATTGTAACATCGTTACCTTTTTGAAACGTTGGGGATATATTTATGTAAATACTTTAAATACCAAACTATATTTTCTTGGGCTCTTTTGTTAGAAAACTCTTTCTAAAATCTTCAGGTAATACATGAAAACAATTAAGATAATCCTGAAAGTGTAACATCGTTACCTTTTTAAAATGTTAAGGATACGAAACTATATTTTCTTGGGCACTTTTGTTAGAAAACTCTTTCTAAAATCTGTAGGTAATGCATGGAAGTAATTAGGATAACCCTAAAATATTAACATCGTTACCTTCTTGAAATATTAAGAATATATTTGTGTAAATATGTAGCGCATTGAAAAGTCTGGTATCCTGAAATATCGAGCACTGCGCGCCTGGCCGAGCTGATCTTCATCTGAGCGAACGTTACTTGGCAGCTTCTCTCACCTACAGTGATATTCGACGCCATAGTCGGGTAGCTGGCCATTTGTTTTCTATGTTTGGCCTCAACTTATTTTGATTTTAGGTCTGCGATGCGACCTTTAAATTAGCAATTAGTTGTGCCCCTGGAATTTCATGAAATCACATCCTCAGCATAAAATTTGTACAATTTGTGTTTTCTACTCTTGCAGACACATGACGTCACACTCAACCGATCGAGACAGCCAGAAATTGTTGCAGTGCGAACGCTGCAAGTTCAAGACGCTCGTAAAGAGTCATTTAACCCGGCATATGCGATGCCACACGGGTGAGAAGCCACACCAGTGTCCTTATTGCGACTTCCAGTGCAGCGATTTCGACTATTTGCGGAAGCACATCCTTAAGACTGACAAGCATAAAGGGAAGTTCGTATATGAGTGCAGTATTTGTGTGGCGGAACAGGCAACAGAGGTCTTCAAGAGCAATCAGCTCAAGGAATATCAAACGCATATGAATGTTCATAAAAGGAAGTAAGCTCTTTCGCAGGAGCAGGAGCTGAACAAAAAAGCGTATTAAATACATAGTTAACTACTTCTTCAAAGTGTTTATAAATAATAAGTTAAATGGAATCACAACATCACATGAACATATAGTAAGTGCTAAATATTAATGTTAATATATATATTTTTTGATTTTTCAGTTTGTTAAATCAAATTCTTAACTGTCTTAAGCAGGAGAAATGCATCGAACTGCTTTACCCTGCTTTCTATCAATCTGAGAGCAAGAGCAAGCGCTATAATTTCCTACGTAGTTATCAGATCTGCAGGAAACTTAACAGATTATTCCAAAACGATGATATTTTTAATTAGGTTTTTAATTACCACAAATAAAATTAAAAATGCAACACATGCATGCATTCATACATAAATGCCTACAAACATTTTCAACTGTTTGAATTTGCAACCTTTTTAAATAGTTTCCTGCTTTTAACTAGTTCTTAGAAATGTTTATTAATTACAAGTCAAATGAAATTGCAACATCACATGAACAAATAGAGAGTGTTAAAGATTGCTAAGTTCACCCTAAGATCATTATTAACATGCTTTTTGATTATTGGGTTTGTTTAATCAAATTCTTAACTGTTCATAAGCAGGAGCAATGCATTGAACTGCTAAGCACTGCTTGATTATTTAATTCATTCTCAATGCGAAAACTGCAATGCTGAGCAGGATAAGGGCAGAGACACAGTAAGTGCATTAAACTGCTTTGCACTGCTTGTTATCAATCTGAGACTGCAATGCAGAAGAGGGCCAGAAAAGAAACTACAGTAAGTGCTATAATTTTCAACGTAGCTATCAAATCCGCACGACAGTTTACGGATTATTCTGGTTTCTTGAAAGAAAGACTATGATTCTTTTTGAAAATGTTTTTAATGACAACAAATAAAATTAAAAATACAAACACACGTATATTTTCAACTGCTTGAATTTGCATTGGTTTGTGTCTATGCTTATGTGTGCAGTTCAGAATTGCATCGAACTGCTTTATGGCTATAACTTTCTTAGAATTAATGACCTATCCCAACGCAACATGGCAGGATAACTCAGTAGCTAACAGGATTTAATTGCAAATTTAAAAAACACTAATGCCAGCGAAGAGGTGGGAGATGCATCTCTTCGCCCGTTCCTTGAAGATCGTTCTAACTTTTACGATTTCTGAGATATATCCATCTAAATTGAATATAAAAGCATTCAAAAAATTGAAATTTTTGCTTAACAACCTCAGATAGATTTAATTTCCATTGTAATTAAAACTCTGACAGCTGTTTTTTTCAGATATTTCCTTTATTTCGCCATTTAAAGTTCAAATCCAAATCGAATCTATAGGTTTACTAAACTTAAGGTATTTATTACTGCCATCGCGGTTGGACAATGATAGCGAAAACATTCCCTTTTTTAAATACCAATTTCAAAAATAAGTATGTATGTTTTAAGATAAGCAGGGCGCAGCCTCACAGAAATTATAGCTAGAAGAGTCGTACGATTTTTGTATATATGCGTGTACCATTTACAAATATACATAAATGTTATGCAGTGGTTTTCAACGAACAGCGGCGTAGAAATAGTGGAACTCCTATGGTATTGCAGGCTCGTCGAAATCGTGAATGAGTGCGTTCCATGGATATACATAATTATAATTTATAGGGCATCAGCTATGGAGGTGCCGAAGCCAAATGTCTGCTTGATGCTGTGCCAATAATACCGATGCCAATTGGTTCTCATCGCTTCGTACTCGGAGGCGGGGATGCCGGTCTGCTTTAGCGTCATCATGGTGCTCGAGGACTGCAACAAAATGATTTATTTCGAATCACAGGACGATAAGAGAGAGAGAGAGAGAGAAGAGCTGGGCTACTTACGGTTTCCTCCAGCTCTATAGTGACATTCGAGTAGTGACCAGAGGCCCAGTTTTTCAGGCGCCAGCTCTGTTGTATTTTCTTTTCCGGCACGAGTTCCTCAAACTTGCCCAAAACGTTGCCGCCATACAAGACGAATCTGAAACGGTAATGAAATGTAAACCATTAGGTTTTTAGCCACATTCTAAGAGTCCCTTTCTTTGCTAGTCTCCTAAGATTTTGATTTTCACCTGAAAAGCTAAAGCCACACCTCTAAACTTAATGCCATTTCGATTTGAAGAACATTGTCATTTTTTCAATGAAGCATATTCTCCCCTAACTGCAAGAGAAAGTTCTCGAAATCTCAGAACATTATCTGACTACTTACTCGCCACCACGCACGGCGTCCACCTTCGCCGGCGCGCGTGTAAATGCAGTAACCATGTCGGGCTTCGTGAGCGCATTGTACAGATCGTTGGCGTTGCAGTGGAACTCCTCGGCCATGGATAGGGAGCGCACATCTAGTTTGCAGCCCACATTTGTCCCACTATTGGATGTTTTGGTTGTGGTTTGCGAATTCGTTCCTCCTCCTGCGGCCGTCGCTGCCTTCTGCGCAGCATTCTTGGCGTTGTTCGCATCCCTTAGCTGAGTATCGGCCAACGCTGGGCCATTGTTCTCGGCGCCCTTCTTTGGTAGTATTAAGTTCTTCGAGTATTCCTCCTTCAGCTCCTTGATATAGACGCCCAGCTGCTTCCGTATACTGTCGCGACCCACATTGTACATAAACTGCTTAAGGGTCTCCGACTCGTCGTTGGACTCGTCAATTGTCACAGTGATCTCCACATCATCCAAATCATTCTCCTCCGACAAGTTCGGTATTGTCAGCTTGCCCTTGTGACTGAGTTTGCTGTTTTTAAGCAGGCATCCGGACCATTTAAGCACCAGCTCCCACTCGTAAAAGAATATAAGCTTGCCCTTGCGATTGTTGACCGTCGCCTCGCCACTGCACTTGTCCACGCCCTCCACAATGCAATCGATATCGTTTCGTTCTTATTGTGCAGCATAAAATTAAGGTTAGATTAAAAAATAATTAGGGTTACCAGCTCGCTCAATATATACCTATTTTAAAGTCCTGGAACAGCTGATGCAGTCGCTCCTTTGACCAGGGTGTCGCATTCTTCTCTGTCCAGTGCCAATTGTTCACGTTCGTGGCATCGGGGCGCTCCTCAACAATCCAACGCGGATCTCCTTCTCCCCATTTGGCCATTTTAATCGCGTGCTAATATTCTGTTCTGAACGATTGTCTTCTATATAGGGGTGCGGAGGGTTTTTCTTCTGAGTGTGCCGGCAGTGCGTTTGTAGCGTTTTGCGGTGTCACTGTATTTGACTGTTGCCCCTCAAAAAGGTCCGCGAGCTTAACGATTTAGGCAAAATGTTACGAATCTTCCAGAACTCTGATGGCCAAAAATATAAAGTGTGACCGTACTTGGAAATTGGAAAAACGACGAATGACCAGCCTCATATGTTTGCACCCTAGTTGAAATGAGTAGTTGGTCTCAAATGCTAATTTATTTTCATTTTTTCAAATTAGTAGACTTTAGTAAGACTGCAGATGACATAAAATGTTAGGATATATGATTTCACTTATTCATTTCATTTTCTGTGAAGAAAATCTATCGATAGACGATGTTTTTAAATACTAGATCACTTCAGCTAAATTAACTGCCAAAAATACAATATTTCTAATATTTATTATCTGAAATAACCACATTCTTCTGAATAGTGGAGGAAATTAAGATATGAAATGCTCGGAATGAGAAATAACAAATAATAATTAAAGATATACTCATTTAATTAATTTAATACATTACATTACATATGGTTTAGCAGCAAAGTAGGAAACCATCTGTCCATATTGTCGCCAACGTTGCCAATGCAAGACCATTGCTGGTATTTTAACGCCAGTGCAAATGAGTGATACGGTATTAAATACTCATTCCTATTAGCTGGCAGCATTATTGTTACGACAGTCCGGCAGCGTCGCGCTTGCGTGAAAAATTTCTGTGAAAATTTGTGTGTTGTGTTTATTTGTTATTCGTAAAAAAACGGTGAATATTAAATGAAAAACAGAAGCACAGTACGCGAATAAATCGAATAATGTTTAACTAAACGCGCGTGTGTGTGTGTGAGTGCGTGCCTGAGCTTTCCGCGGCCTCCACAATGTCCGCCATGGCTGCAATGGATAATAGTTTCGACAATAGATCTTATGGGCGCAGTGAATTCTCGATGCCAGGTAAACAAGGCTTTCAAAAAGAACAAAAAACAAAAAAAAAACATGATGAGCAAAACAAAGAAAATGCTATTGCGTTTAAGTTTAAAGCCAAGTGCATTTTCAATATTTATTTTTATGGGTGCGACGCGTCTTTGATTGCATGAAGCAACAAGCGAGTGTCGGGGTATGTGGGTGCGTGCACGTATGAGTGTGTGAGAGCGTGTGTGTGTTGGTGTATTAATTGGCCCTCAATTGAATTAAAAATGTGTAATGCCGTATTAAACTAACACGCCAATTTATACAGTTGGACGACTACACACTGTGCCGCAGAAATATTATTATATTGATTAGAGCGCCGCTGGGCCTCCATACACGCATATGTATATGTGCTTGTATACATATGTATATGTATGTAAGCCAGCAGAATGCGGCGGACGCTGTCTCCTTTGCGCTCATGCGTTGCAAGCTTATGTGCTGTGAGTGTGTGTTGTGTTTGTGCGTCCGTGTACGTGTGTGTGTGAGTAAACTGTTTACGTGCCTGAGGAATGTTGTTGTTGTTGGTGCTGTTCCAATTAACCAAATAACAGCAACATGAAACAGCATGAAACAACAAAGCAAGCGCAAATGAACTTTCAACAATTATTATTACGAATGCACATACATACATACATACATATGTATGTACATACGTATGTATGTATGTATGTATGTATGCATCTGTGATTGTTTAAAAATGTGAGTGTCTATTATTTATTGCAGAATTAACGCCGGAGCAACAAAAATTACTCATTGAGTTGCGACGCAAGAAACAGGAGCTTCTGCTCGAAATACAGGTAAGTCCGCCTAAGCGCCTAACTATTTTTCTCCTTCCGCTCTCGGTCGCGACATTTCAGCTCTCTGCTTTGATTCATTTGCATGAATAATCATCTGCCTGCCAACAACTTCTTCAGTTCAGAGCAGAGCAAATGTCAAGTCGTTTTCCTCTCCCTTTTGGCCTCCTCTTTCTCTTCGCACCTGTCGCTTGACGCTTGCCGCGTCTTCGTTTGTTGCCCCTTCTTGTATGTTGCGGCTAATTGGTTTGTTCACATTTGCTATTTTATTGTTGTTAATTTATTTAATTGCCTTTAAATGCTTCCCATTTTGGCTCTTATGTGACAGTCGTATCATCTTCTTCAAACATAAAACAAAAACTTGGGGAACCTTATGCCATCAATAAAATACCGTTGCTCTGAAGTGTGTCTATCTATTTCTCTTTTATTGTCACGTTTTAACTTTTTGCTGACATTTATGTGTGTTGCTGTTGTTGTTGTTCTTGCTGCTGTTGTTCGTTTTTGACAAAAACATGGGAATTTTTTTTGCTTGTAAATATGTATTTACATATGCATGTGTGTGTGTGTGTATGTGTAAGTAAAACACAACTGTAAACAAAACTAAGGCACAGGAGCGCACTTGAGGCCACTTGGAGGCCACAAATATTGTGTCCATTGGGGGTACTAACGAATTGTTTGAAGAATAATTGTCTTCATACATACGGATGTACATGAGAATTGAAAATACTTGTGTTTGTGTGAATGGATGGTTTCCCAGTCGCCAAACAACATTGAGAACGAATCCGTTTTTTGGCAGCTTCATTGCACGTGCTGTTTGCTGCTTTATATTTCCTCTACTAGACTTAAATAAATATACATATGTATGTACATATGTATATGAATGTACTTTATGTTTTGTAGCATTCATTCATTGGGTTCATTTATTCACAAATTTGTGGGTTTCTTTAATTTGTTAACCAGAGTTGAGGCTATAAAACCTTATCTACTTAATTCGATATACTTGTAAAGTGTGTTTTTACAGTTTATGAACGGACAGTTTCTAATATGTAACAAAAGCGGGGCAAAAATGTTTATCAAAAATCCATTTTCTGCAGCTATTTTAAATTTTATGTATTTCTATTTACATATGTATAATTGCAAATGAAATTCTCTCCTAATATTGAACGAAGCAATAGCTTTTATGGCAATTAGCTCCCCAGTCTGTACAAGATAATAAGTTTAATATTTATAAAAACATTTATTCAAAAGAACACAAGTGTGAAAATATATGAAAAATATTCAATATATACATATGTGCATGTGTGACTCCAATGAAAATTTGTGTTGAAAATTTATGTTTTAATAATAGTTTTTAAATATATTCCATATTCTGGGGCATTTGTTGGGATATAAGAATTGTTTTCTGATGGCTCTACAATTTTAGGGGAAATGTTGGACATTGTTCCTGTGTGTTAAAGTAAATGTCCTAGTCCAGTTTTGTGAGTTTAATTTGGTCGTGCATAGAACATGTCACTTTATTATGTCCAAAAATAATGTTGCTTGCAATCGAACAAATCGAGGTATAAAAATTGGTTCCACTCTAAGTTTTGAGAATATAATTTATTGTTTTTAAACACGCTAAAGATTTAAATATTTTTAACATATGTATGTATGCATGTGCTATTTGCATTTTAACCTAAAACAAATATTATCAAATCAAATTCAAATTCTTTAAATATTCCTGTTCCTATATAATATAAGTTGTATTTTCCGCTTTACCTCTACCTCTATGATACCCTTTTTATTGTGCGCCCCGCACGCACTCCTGCTGCTACCTGGACATTTCGCTCCTGTGTGGCCGGCCGCATGTAAAATTGTCAGAGTCGTGCTCAGCGTACTTTAGTCATCAATGACGTTTCGCGGCGGGCGCAAATCGAAGGCAACACACGCTGTGCGTTTAAGTCGAAGTGGGCCGAGAACAGTGAACAGCGGTGATAAAAGATAGTAGTGTGCATACAAATATACATATACGCACACAAACACATTTCCAAATACAAGTAGACAGCATTCTTGGCGTGCCCGAAAACCTCGTTAAACGTGACCAAAAACGTCAACGTTAAGTGTTAATTGTTAACGTTATCATTGTTTTGTTGTTACTATATTTATTATTGTTGTTGTTGGTGTGTGCTATGTACAAATATCTATATCGCAAATTTGTAAACAAAACCAAAAGCAAGGTGAGTCTGTGAGTCAACGAAAATGTCTGGGCTATGTCTAGAATGCAGAAAAAAGAATAATAATAAGAGAAAGCAACGAAAAATGCAGTGAAAAAGCAAACAAATACATAATAATATTACGTGCATATGTACACACATACATACACTATTTACTATATGTTTGTATAGAGCTGTGCATGTGTTTATGAATTATATGCATATTTTCTGTACACCTGAACCTGAGCTGCGAATTCAAAGCAAACAGGGTTAGCCAACCGGTTAATCCATTTAATGACTTGTTAACAAAGCACTAATATAAATGTTTTCATTAATAATGGTTTGATATATTCACGTGTTGTTTAAATTAATATTTATTAGCATACGTTAATTGCTAATCGCTTTGAGGAAAGATTCACTCTTGTTGTTCATTGGCTTCATTCAGTTTATGAAATTAAAAAGAAAATTTTATCATAAATAGATTTACAGTCAATCGCTTTAACGTTAGTCTTTTAAATGCGACAGTAGTTTCCTTTTGACAAATAATAAAATATATTGGAACTTTATATTTTAGCTTCGAAGCTAAAATATTAGGTGACTTTCTTAAGCATTTTAATTCGCGCCTAATCAGGCCACCCAGCAGCTTTTATTGTATTTATTGGAACACTTTCCATTAACTTTTAATTTATAAACTTGTTATTAGATCTGAAAATAAGTTACTACATTTTCATTATGATTTCAGCATATTTTTACAACTGCTGGAATAGCAAAATGTTGACACACTCATGAAAAATTTGTTATTATAGGTAGCTCTAAGAGGTGAGCTCTGACCAAACTATATGCTTCAAATAGTAGGTAAATGCTTTCAGTCCCTGTACCTTTTTCGTATGCCTCTCCATGCTCTCTCTCTCTCTCTCCCTCTCTCATTTGCATTTAGTTTTCCAGCAAATTTGCCTTTTCCGCACATTTTCCACCGTTGCTTATTACGCATAATTTCGTTTTTATGTGCCACAGACGTTCGTCAGTTGCTAGTTTTTGGTAATTCAGCGACGTTATCCATTTGGTTTTTACCTGGAGGCAGCAATCGACACCTCTCCTCTCGGCGCTCCCTAGCATCGTCGGCCCTTACCTTTGGCTTCATCTACCTGGAAGCAATTGTGTGCGTGCCATTTACCGCAATGCATAAATTACCAAATCCTCTTTATCTGGCCGCGTGCACAGCTCTGTGCAAAGGGGTTTCCTTTCGGTTTTTCGGTAATTAGTTGGGGGTCAAGTTGAGGAGGGGCTGACGTTGTTTTGTGCATTGAACCGACAGCTTTTATGTTGTTGTATAAGCAGTGCACGATGCTGTTTTAATTGTTTCTATTCATGCTGAATATGAGATTTCATGTGGTTTATTTAATTTAATTTGACGCAAAGTGTTGCATACTTTTAGTCACAAGTCAAATAAAAGTGAGATGTTGCTCGTATTAGTATGCTACGAGAAATTGTGACCAGAACTTAAAGCTAACTGCTGCGAAACTAGATCTATTTCTTTTAGCGACCCATAGGAGTTTTGATTTACAAAGAACAAACGTAAACAATATTAAATAGCTCTTGAAGTGGTAAAAAAAACTGCGTTTCATTTGTTTTTTTATATTCTTAAATTATTTTATCAAAAAAAGCAACAAGAACAATACAATAAGTAGAGAAGTTAAACTAATTAAAAGTAAAGAATTGTGATCAAATTCGGGCGTTGTATAAGTCGTGTAACCCTTTTCAATTCAAAATCTTATAACTGCTGTGCAGTAAAACTTCAATTAATAAAAATATAAAAAAATTCAACTAATATGCACCTTTGCCTCAACATGGAGTCCCTGCAGTCCATTTTCATATCTTAAAACATAGGGGGGCTGAATTTGCAAGATTAATAAGCGTAATACAAGGAAACACTTTTGATTAGACTTTATTTGCTTCATTTGACGCCTTAAACAGGAGTTACAAAGCAATTCCATTCACTGTAGAAGAGAGGACGGTGCCAGGAGCACTGTCGGCCCTCTGTTAAGCCCCGTGCTGGTGCTTAACATTCAATTGTTACAGTGGCACAAATATGCTTCACCGGATTGGGCTGGATGTCGGGAATCTGTTGACTCATTTCTCGGCGTTCTCATAAACAAGATTAAACACAAAACATGAGACGACTCTTAGTCTCAATTTGTTTAATAGATAAATATAGTAATGCGCTTGTGGTATTCTACAAAAATACCTTTTAAAAATAACAATTTTTTAATAATCTCAATCAATTAAATGATCGCTTATAATTGGTGACAAATTTTCTACGAAACTTATTACTGTCATGCATTTGTATGAATATTATGTATGTGAAAAGCTTTAATTTGCATGTCAATTACGCAGATGTCTGAATGACATTTAGCAAATGTACTTATGTTTGCATATGTGTATGTATTCAGACATTCTTATCAAAAGTACTACAAGTATATGTATATTCAGCTGCGTCTTGACTGGCTGGCCCCTTAACCTAAACCACGATTGTTTCTTCGCTCACTTATCTGCCATTTTGCACACTCACAGTTTCGATCCCCATTTCGTATGTAGTCCGGGGTGGGGTAATTGATAAGATATCGGCATCGATTTTACGCTATAGTTATCAAACTTGAACTCTTTGGACTGAGAAATTTCCGCTGTCCAGTCAACAGTGGTGATTCGTCTACATAAAATTGATACAACAACAGTGTTTCAAAGGGCTGTTAAGATTAACAGAGTTTCGAGTGTCTGGTTTGAAAGCCAGAGAGCTACTGCTATCCAGTTAACAGTGGCGGCAAAACTAAGACAACAGCATACCTGCTAAATATATATGTAGGATATTTTTTGTAGCAAGAAACTTTCAATGTTAAGCTTAACAGAGTGTGGGATGTATGTACATATATATAAATCTTTTTAATATGTTGCTATCCGATTCAATGAGATCTGAGATATCATTGGGCTCGGAGAGTTATTTAATTACCAACAAATACACATACTATGCACATAACACAATTAATATTGTGGCAGCATCCGAAATGCATTAATCCAACCAGAATATGTGCACTTCGATTTGATGAACAGTTTGACTTTTCGTCAATATTAAAAAATATTTCTAACGTGTTTACGTTTGAATGTTCCGTTGAACTTTCGCTATTGTCATATCTTTTGCTGTTGTCATTCACGTCTTGTTTTTCTTTTGCTTGCTTTAATCGTTGTTTTTGCTGTGTTGCTTTATTTTATAATAAAAATTGTTTGGATGTTTAGTCATCTGATCAGTAAATGCCACTGTGACGAGCGCAGCAGCGCGGACCGTCTGCTCTTCGATGGCCGCTCACCAGCTCTCTCTTCGGCTACTCTCTTTTAATTTTGAATGCTCGCTCTTAGGCTGCTGTTTTAAGTTCGTGTGGCTTCATTAAGCTTTTCAAATATTCTGTCCGTTGCTTTCAAACCTTAAAATTATGATTTATAGTAGCATCAGCAGCAGCAATAACAACAAACTTTCAGCAACAGCAACAACAACAACAACAATGAGTTACGCAGTGTACTCGTAGAACTTATTGAAAGCGCACTTGAAGTGCAAATTTGTGCTTTGATTTATGATGTCTGCTTTGAGGTTATAAACGACAGCATACAGGACAAGAGCAAACGGGACGGCACGGGACGGGTTGAAATGGAACGAGTGGCAACAATGGCCCATTCACATGCATAACCACTGACCGTCTGGCTGGTTGTGTGTGTGTGTGTGTATTTACCATTGTTTGTAAAAGACTTTGTTGGTTGCCATTACAACTATATAGTACTTAACAACAAGAACAACAACAACGACAGCATAAACTGCAACAACTGCAGTAATGAAGAGCCAACCAAGCCAGCCACGACAACAAAGTGTTGCCAATTTTTCACACCGCTTCAATTTATGGCGTCTGTGTGCAATACACGCTACACTATTTCCCCCACAAATGCCACAGCGTGAAATTTTATTTTTCTCTACGCTAAAGCATTTAATTCGTTATGTATTTCATAAAAAAAAATTGAAAAATTTGAGATAAATAAAATTTTTGGGGATGTGGCAAATGCCAGGGGATTTTAACCCACAATAATAGCTCCTGCTGCTCCTTTCTTAAGGACTCCAGCGCCCAAGGCGCCGGTTCCAAGGGCAGCTGCTCCAACGGCACCCTTCGCCACAGCTTTCGCTGCGATGGCGCCAGTTCCCAAAGCAGCAGCTCCAAGTCCGGCAGCTCCCAAGGCACCAGCTCCAATGGCCGCAGATCCAATCGCTTTTGAGCCAATAGCTCCAGCCCCCAATGCAGCTGCGCCAGCAGCGGCCGCTCCCAGATATGCTGCATTGACTGAGGCGGAATGAGCGGCCTTAGCTGCAAGCGCAGCGCCGCCAATGCCAGCAGCTCCCAGTGCTCCAGCTCCAAGGGCGGCAGCACCGACAGCACCACCCGCAACGGCCTTGCCCGCAGCAGCCGAAGTGCCAAGGATAGCTGCTCCGGCAACTTTTGAGGCCACTGCAGACGCTCCCACAGCTTTAGCACGAAGTATCTTAGCTCCTGCCACAGCAGCCTTGACGCCAGTAGCTTGGACGGCTTTACCACCAATTACAGCAGCAGTAGCCGTTCCAGCACCAATAGCTCCGACACCTAAAGCTCCTGCCGCCACAGCTTTACTCCCAAGTGCTGCTGCGCCCACTGCGCCAGCCTTTGCAGCTAACGCGCCCGCACCTACGGCTCCAGCAGCCATAGCTCCAGCCTTCATCGCGTGGCCACCAAGCGCTGCAGTTCCAATGGCACCCGCTCCAAGCACACCAGCTCCAAGCGCTCCAGCCCCGGCTGCGCCAGCGGCAAGTGCCCCCGTTCCTATTGCATTAGCCCCCAGTGCTGCAGCGCCAGCACCAAGTATTCCGGCTCCTACTGTACCAGCTGCGAGAGCGGCAGTACCAAGACCGCCAGTCTTTAACGCTCCTGCCCCAAGCACTTTAGCTCCCACGGCACCAAGACCGATGGCACCTGTGCCCAGGATAACGCTCGATGCATATTGAATCTGCAAAAATGCGATTATTGGTGCCACCGCTAGAAAAGGGGATAGTTTGCGTTTCAATGACTCAGTCTGTTCTAATTTCCATGGCTACTCACTCCATAAAAAGTTTAATATCTTCATTCCGCTTAAAGGTGCTTCTTCCCTGTCACAGTCTGCAATGAGGCCATTTGATCTTTGGATTGCTGTTATATGTCCAGCACTCCTAATTAATATTATCAACGGATTATATAACCTCTATCAGAGCACAACAATTGGCGTGGCATTGTTTTTCCAAGTCATAACTGTGCGATAAACGCATTAATAACGGATTTCAGATTTCTCTACGCTTAATATTGAAAGTAGTATAAAAAACTTCTTCGTCAATAATAGGATGTTGAGAGATTAGGATATGTTTATAGGCTTTCAAAGAAGCCTTTTTAAAATGGCAATGATGTTGTATGACTGTTGCACTCAGAGCATAGTTGAAATTCTCTAGGCATTTCCTTTATCACAATTCTGGCTTCTTTATACAAATTAAGCGTCCCAGTTCTAGCTCAATGCCAGCTGGAGCCCTATGGAGATCAGTTTCTTAGGACGGCCCATCATTATTATTATGCATATTATATATTATTATATTGTATATCTTATTATTATTAGGAGTAGTATTAGCCTTTCCGCATCCAAGAAAAGGTATTCCTTTATCACAATTCTGGTTTCTTTATAAAAATTAGGCGCCCCAGTTCTACCTGAATGCCAGCTGGAGCCCTATTATTATTCTATTATATATATATTATATTATTATACTGTAAATATTATTATTATTATTATTAAGAGGGGCAGTAGCAACCAAGAAAATGAATATCCCAGTTAGATTGAGATTAGTTTCGTGGTCGTCTTTCAACAAATGCAGAAGTTCTCCTATGCGTTACATTTGTAAAGAGCGGCAGTAGTTAACGCCAAAGAGTCATGCCAGACAAAGAGCGAACACGCTCTCTTAAAAACACTTGTTGTGTGAGCGAGCATTCGTTTGTCGACTGGCTGGCGGGCACTAGGCTCTTTTCGTCGCACAAGGGCTCCGACAATGCCGTCAACGCTTGCACGCCTCAGTCTGAGTTCGAGAATTCAAACACAATGTCGTAACGGACGCGGAGACGGCGTGTGCGACACTCCCAACTGAGTAACATATTTATTCATTTCGTTCGCGTTATTTTCGTTCGTTCGCGCTATTCCCGTTCCTGCAACGTGCCCGGCGCGTGTGTCTGATATTTTTGTTTCAGCCTAAAACCAAAAAGCAACAAATTTTTCGGGCCCTGGCAAAAAAAAGTGGCACAAAATTCAAGCAAATTACTGCATAAAATCTATAAATATTTCTAAATAACAGCCGAAACACAAAGGCAATAATTTTATATTTGCACCCCAGCCTCTCAGTTTCCGCTTTGTTTACACTTTAATGTGCTTGTGCAAAAAATATTGTTGTTTAAAATATATGGCAAGAAAATAAAAATGAACTGATATAAATGCTTATCAGTCAAATTGTAGATAATGCGCAAAAGTTAGGCCAAAAGGAAAATTTCAAAAAATACTAAACGCGAGTGAGATATTCGAAACAACTTTGTTGAAAAGTAATTCAAAAACAAAATACAACTCCAACAGAATTGAAGAGTAACTTCAGGAACCCAAAAAGCCCAATCCACAACGGGCCCAGAAATGTAAATATTGAACAAGCTTATAAATATTACAAATACACACCGTTGTTGCAAGTAATTTACAAGTACAAATATGCGTCATATCCTCCCCACATCCAAAAGCCGCAATGAAGCGAATTCCGCTTTAAATTAATCTACTTGAGGAATTAGTAATGCTCAGCGCAATACCTAATCAAAAGCGATACAAAAACAAATAGTAAATTAAAAATTGTTGCTCTACAATAATATGCAATATGTGACGTCAGTTGGGCATTTATGAATGCTGATATGATATTGAAAATGTTGTTGTTGCTTTTTATTTTATCAATTAATGTCTTTCCGACTGTGTCTGTCTTCGCATATTGAGGTTTGTCTTTATTATTGTGGCGAGGCTCGGCTGACGCCCGACCACCGGGCTTTATTTGTTTAATTGCCATATGAGTAATAAACATTTACGTTACGGACACGAGTTTGTTCAGTGAATTGCTTACGAAGCGAATCTGTTGTTGTTAAGCAAAAATCGAGCACGTGATTGAGGCGGATAAATTTTATGGATTCGCAGTAACTACTGGTTGGGATTTTGTATTTCACCTTTTTGGGAATTTAATTTAAGATTTGAAAGCTAAATATGTGCCTTTCTTTCCACTTAGTATGCTCATCGATTTGAAAATAAACTCGACGCACGTTGAAATTGATAAAAATCTAAGCAGAAAATGGCATTTCAAATATGCATGAAAATTGCCAAACCAAAAGGGCAAGCAGGCAAGCAAAACAAACCCTTACCGTTGACCGGTCCAACCACAAACCAGTATGCCGCCTTTCTTTCGACCACAGTCCCACCGACAGCCAGACAAGCGACAATGACCCAAACAGTCAGCCACCGTCGAAGGTTAGGTGATGAGACGGCCTGACGCCAAAAATAAGTTGCAGCCATTGCGACTAAATGTATTCGCCATTTTCCCAATAGGCCAAGAGTTTGCCAACAGAAGACGGGGTGGGACGGGACAGTGAATAACGTTAAAACACAACCATAAACGAGAAAAAGGGTAAAACACAATTCGTTTGCAAACTAGCAGGAAAATAACTTTTCCACAACTGCTTGTATATATGAGTATGTACCTTTGTGTAAAGAAATGTACATTTACCAACGAGGCCTGCTTACAATATATGCGGGCCAGGCTAGCAGCAAACAATCAAAATTCTACAGTTCCACAGAACAAACTAACCATACTTAAATGGTTTACTGATACATTTCTAAGAAACAAAAATGTTCAATATTAGGAAAGCTCCTTCATTTGCTTGGATATATCTTTGCGAATTTAATGAAGAAACCCCAGACCCTAGAGCGTCTCAAAAGACTTTCCATTACGAGCCAATTGGAGCCTTACAAATAACTGTTATTCTTCAAAGCCCCACCTAATTTTGTATTTTGTGAGGCACATGACCTAATTTAGTAATTGTCCTTTTAGGAAAGATCTTAAATAAAGCAACAATTAATACAAAAATAAATAAATAAATAAATAAATAAATAAAGCAATCCTTTTCATCCATCATCCATTTACTTTATTTGACCCTGTTTACTTTTACTTTTTTGTATCCTTTTCAGTAATGGTTTTTGCTGTTAGAAAAATTTGATTTTTGGTTCTCAGATATGGTCTGAATATCTAGACATCAACATCTTTTATCCACAAATAAACCCGCACCTTTTAGTGATGCCTTATGGGCAATTTTCTTTCGAAAAGAAGAGCAATCAAAGCAATCATTTAGGGAAAGAATTCAATTGCATTTTAATTGGATTAATTATAGATTCTGTAATTAGAATAAACTGATGGCTCAGTTAAAACTACGTTATTTCTTAAAACCCGAATACCTATCAGAAGCAAAGCTATGCGTTAAAAGCATAGCATTCTTACACAGATAATAGAGCATTATTATTCATTGTGCAGCCCTCGTTTCAGTGTCTTGTGTGCACATATTATACGAATATATCTGTATGTATGTAAGTAATTCGATTCGATTCGCACACGGAGCCCAAGTTATATTGTTGTTGCCATGGTGTGTGGCAGCACCAAAGCGACCTCTAGCGGTGGCCATTGTGCATTTTATCAAGTGTCGCGAGCGAACAATAAACACCGCCACAATTGCGACAAGCAATTGGAAAACGGGTGTGGACTCCCCCTTCACCTGCCCCTACCCGCCTCTAACCCCCCCCCATTGAATGCGCAGTTTTGTCGCGACTTTTTCTCGTTTTTTACAGTTTGCATATTTTGAGTGCGGCCTGCCAATGAAACATGCCAAAAAAAAAAAAAAAAAAAACAAACAAAAATGAGAAAAGGAAAGAAACATGTACAGAGGAATACGAAAGACGCAGTTTATTTTGTACTTTTACGCGACTGCAAACGAAGTATTTGGCGGAAGGTGGGCAGGAACGCTAGAGGGGGGGTGGGGAGGTGTGGGTTGCAGCTGGTCGGTGTTTGTTGGGTCTTTGGCCAACACTGCCAAGTGCCAAGAATGCAAATGGCGTGCGCTGCGAGCTGCCACTACCGTTCGCCATATCGTGTCAGTTCTCCAATAAAACCAGAAACAAGACCTACTACTCGTACTACTAGCGTGCATGTAACTGTGAATGTGTGTAGCCATAATATACTCGTATTGTTCATAACTACAAAAACAACAACAAATATGATGGAGCTGTTTAACTTCTCGTTCACTGAAAGGCCAGAACTTTTCGCAACTCCAAGCTCCAAAAGCGTGGTGACAAGACAACACTCGCTAGCTAGATAGTCAGTCATCATGACTTATCGATCACATTTTGAAATTGCAACACCAAGCGCAAAGTTCCCAACTGCTTCGTGGAAAGAATGGAGCAAATAAATACTCCCAGACACAATGCATGGACATGGATGGCATGGAGGAGTGGAAAGAGATGCCGCAATTGCGGTTAATCAGGGGATAACGACCTCTGACGATGGTGACGCTGTTAAGAAGCCACTAAAACAACATCAAAGTCAGATGCCGGACCAGCATCAGCCTCTCTCTGCACAGATATGCAGACATATAGTATATACATATAGAGTGAACGACGACCAAGCGACAGATTAACAATCATAATTGCGCTGAATTAGGGATGTGCATGTGAAATAAACATCGATGTCTATCACATTTAATTTAAATAGCTTTGCTTCAATTCAAAAATAGGTAGTTTTTGTATTAACAAATATTAGGTAAAAACATTTTAAATAACTTTTTTGGTTAAACTTTGTTTAGAAATTGAATTAACATGCTTGGGCAACCTTTGAGAAAAATGCCTTTCTTTCGACTCAGACCAAGATTTTTAAATATTCTTAGACTGAGCTTCAGTCTTCAGTACTTCCAGAGCTCTTTCATAACTAAATATTTCATAAAACCCTTTTTAAAAACATTCTGAATTACTTAATTTCCTATATCCAATGTGGTCTTTAGGCAAACTTTGAAAAAAGCCTTTCACTTTGCACAGAGCTACCCAATATTTGCAAATATTAATATGCTATATGGAACAGCTGTGGAAACTAAAGCTGGTAATACTTTCATACTTCCAGAGGGCTTCCATTAAATCGGTTTACTTAGATTTGTATATTTTTATTAACTAAATATTTGATAAAATATTTTTAAAAACATTCTAAATTACTTAATCTCCTATATCCCATTTGGTATCCCATTAGACAAACTTTGAAAAGAAAGCGATTCAGAGCTGACCAACATTTTCAAATATTTATACTCCATTTGGAACAGCAGTGGAAACTGAAGCTGCTAATCATTTCATGTTTCCAGAGGGCTTTCTATAAATCTTAGCTTTGTTTCTTCCTATTAACTAAGTATTTGATTTTGCAAATAGCCTCAACAATTATTTGGAAAACAAAAATCTGTTGTATAACTAAACTCAGGCACATATGTCTTAAGACTTCAAATCAATTACATCGAGTGTTTGCATCGCTATTGAACAATACATCGGAACAGCGCGATGTATCGGAGGCAAACATCGATGTTAAAGTATAACGCACATCACTAGGCCGAATGCAGTTCAGCAAAGTGCAACGCATGATTGGTCATTTGCTCATTGTCGCCACATGGACGCACATTGCAGCATGTTCTTGTTGTTGCTGTTGTTGTAATGGTTGTTGTTGCTGTTGCAAGTTCTGCCACCCATCGCAATGGAGTGGGTTAGGTGTGCGTGCGTGTGTGTGTGTGTGCAGCGGATGCATTCATTTAAGTCATTGTGGGTTTGTCGCACTGCCGTGCAAGAATGCCCGTCTATAGCGACGCCCTCTACTCTAGTACTACCACTATTCCACTCATAGATAGATGTATGTGTGTATGTATGACAGCTATATCTATACTGCTGATCGTTTTTGCTTATTCCCCAAGTTATGCGGAAATTAATGCAAAAGTGCGGACCACAGCGAACAACCAAACAAGCAGCTGACCTGGACACGTTTGTGTTTTCGTTGACTAGTGTGGGGTGGGGTTCGCCATTTTTAGTCCAGACGGCTGTCAACAACAACGCTACGGTGAAACCACATTTTAAAGAATGAACAATAAGCCCGGTTTCCATTTCGAAATCTTAGCAGACTATTCGCAAACGAAAAAGCTAAGATGTTCGATTTTAGCGAAACAAACGAGCTTAACGTGAGATTCTTGGCTTTTAATTTGCAAATTATTTTTAAATTTTTTGCATAATTCCCAGTCAATGCCTTTTTGGGGCAACTTTTGATTTGAGTGCTGACTTGATTTGTTTTAATTCAGCAGAGCCATGGTACTATTTGTTCCCACTTTAAAGAAGCATTTAGCATATTTGTTTCTTCAAAAACTTGATCGCAGGTATACCTAGTCTGGGATAGGATATGTCGTGTAGTGTTTTTACATTCCGTTCCCTTATTGTTTTGAGGCTAGAACTGAATTGTTGGGATAACGTTTTCTACAGCCTTTTGGGAGCCCTACTTGATGCTGGCAAAAAGCATTTTTTTTGTTAACAGAAATGATTTTTT